CCCTGGCCGTTTCGAACTGGAAGAGTCTCGTCGTAAAATAGTGTGTTCGTGCAATCACTACTGCGTGATGCAGGTTAACCCCCCCCCCCGGGGGCTGGCGGTCACAATTCTGCAATGGCAAATATTCTAGCACGTCCGGGACACTCGTCGTCTCATTTAATTGCCTGACCAACTTCGCAGAATCTAGATATGACACCCTAACGTTTCTAAACTTGATTTTCTGAAAACCAGTGAGTCGTGAAAACGTTATTTGAAACTGAAACTGTGGAGAAACTTGAAAATCGGACTTCGAACTTTGAAAACTTGGATTAGAAAGAAATTCAAAATCTTCGAAGTTTTCTTTTTTTTTTTTTTTTTGAATTTAGCGTTAAAGGGATACTAAAGCGAAACTTGAAATACACCTATTATGGTCAGAAATAGGTTCAATATGATCAATGATATTCATAAATCATAATCGCGCGTTTGTATTTTGAACGGATGGCTATATTTTTCACCCTAATGGGCCCGATTGGGCGCGCGCTCAAAAATCGGCCATCGGAGAGCGCGATGCGTCTTGGGATATTGGGCGCATTCGTGACGTCACTTGTGCCGGTCGGGAAAGGCTACGGCGTGAATGTTGTGGTTACGAGCGTTGCCACTTGGTGGAGCGTCGACGATTTACGACCTGTGACAACGTGGCCGTTTGAGATGTGCAAGGGCTGCACGCACGCTGCACCACGGCAAGTCGGCAACCACGGCAGCACTGACAAAACCAGCTCTGAGGCCGGATTCTCAAAGCGAATTCACGACGAAAAAAGTGCGTACGACAAATTTGAGAGAAAACCCGTGCTCTCGAAACGAAATTGTCGTAACCTTTGCGCAGGTTACGACAGAATCCTACGACAGCTCCGAAGCTGTCTTACGCACTTTTTACGATCAAATCAACAAGGCCGACAGCGTCGCTCAGTTACTTGGTATCGGCCACCAACGGATATTTATTTTTCTTCGTGCTCTTCTCGTGCGTCCCGACTTCAACCAGCAAGAAAAAAGGAAGGAGTACTTAAAACAGACCACGACGATCAAGAACGCAGGATCCACAAACACACGAGAAGAGCTACAACGGCCACGATTCTGCCGACCGAGCGAGCTCGGCAGAATATAGTAGGCCTAGCAGCAACATCGACTCGGCGCACCGTTGCTCCGGCGGTCCTTGGCCAAGACCGTCTGTCCATGACCGGCTGGCCTGCTGAATGGAATATGCCCGCGCGACCCTTGTGGACCCTAACCGGATGAGTAGTTTGATCGCTGAACTAAATTTCAGAGGTCAATATTTTCCCCTTGTCATCTCGATCTCCTTGCTTTCCGAGACAGCGGTGACGAACGCTGTCGTCGAAAAGGGACTCTCATTGATTCTATCTCCTTGTTCTGTGTGATATAGAGCTCAAATAAACGCCATACGGATTAGCTTGGCAACTCGGTATGTACACTCTGTTATTAGTATGCCATTTTTATTCTGACTCGACGCTAGGTCAGTGTCGAGCTATAGCAGTTCGTGGGAGCTACGCGATGTCGGTCTAACCTTTCTTTGCCGAGTGTCATGTCAGTACCGAGTTGCAATCGTAAAAGATCGGTCCAGAAGCGCTTACCGAAACGCGGTCTAACAGAGCGAATCCAGCACTTCGATCAAACGCGCGTGTCCGCTCCGAGTGTGAACAGGTATTTGGCATTTGCGTGGCTCTTGCTGACACCCTCGTAGTTCAAACATATCCTTTTTAACGTCGGCTTGCAGCTCGCGACTCGCAGCAACTAATACCGGCCGTGCCAGAAGCATGCTCGGGCCGTGTCGTGCAAAGAGCCGCAACGAGAACGAGCTCACTGTGGCCAACTACGCTTTGGCTTTCTCCGCCAAGGCTTTGCAAACGCGTTCAGGCCTAGGCGAATTCTGCCGGCACGCCGTATTGCCGCAGAACGGCGCTGCTATTTTGGCACAAGTGATGTCACGAGAACTTCCCCCCATCCACCAAATGAGAATTTGAAATCGTTTAATTATGTTTAAAATTAGTTCTCCTGTGTTTTACAGCGCAATATTTATATTTCCGAGGTGGTGCCTGTCCCTAGCCCATATTTATGCAACAAGATCGGCGCTAAAATTTCGTTTCAATACCTCTTCAAAAGAGAATCGAAACCTTCGAACCTTTCGAACTTTATGCAAAAAGGAATTCGAAAACTTCGAATTGTTCGAACTTTATGTCTATAAAAATTCGAAGCGTTCGAAGTTTTCGAATTCTTTTTACAAAGAATTTCGAAATCTTCGAATTTATCGAACCTGAAGTAAAAAATATTCGAAATATTCGAATTCGAAATTTTAGAAACCGTGAAAGCTTCGAAATTTTCGAATTCGAAACTCCGCTGTGGACAAAAGTTGCGAATTTTTCGAAATCGAACCTCGATCGGTACGAAAATATCGAAATTTTTCGAAATCGAACCTCAGTTCGCTTCGCAAATATCGAAACCTTTCGAAATCGAACCTAGGGTGGTTCGCGACATCCCTAGCTGTGACCCGCCATTGCAATAAAAGTGTTTATCACTTATGTAAGTGTTTTTGGCGCTGCACACAGTGTCAGCAGCTCAAGATTACTTATCTGCTACGACCTCTTAGAATTATGAGCTTGAACTTATTCCTTTTAGAGCGCAGCTCTTAGGCGCCCGTTTCCGGCTTGAGCGGCGTCGGCGTCGCCGTCGCCGTCGGCGTAACCGTGCGGTGCATTATGGGTAAATTTCCCTGCTAAATCTAGAGGAAAAATTTCCCCGCTAAATCTAGCGGGAAAATTTTGGTCACGTGACCTGGGGAGTCACGTGACTCCTCGCCAGGGTCACGTGACACCCCCGGGTCACGTGACCCTTTCCCCTATGTCACGTGACCCCCCCTCCGAGAACACGTGGCCCTCAGTACCCTTCCCTCCTCCTCCTCAAGAGCTGCGCGCCAATTCGGCGTTACAGGGAGTTGTAAACGGCTTTCACTTTTTTATTTTTCGTGAAAAGTAAATTTTAAATTACTTTGAATACTAATTAGGTCCCAAAAAATGACCACCGCTAAAATTCAGTGCCGTTACGGGCGCCATCTAGGAGAGGCACTGCGGACCCCTGACCTCAGTCACCAAAGTAATTTTTGTTCGAGAAAGCCTCATTTTGTTTAAACCCAAAATAAATAAAGCCTATTTGTAAGTTACGGTTTTGGAGATCAATAAAGGGTGGTCAGTACTTGAATATAGCGACCAATTGCATGCATAACAAAATGTCAGAGTACAAGAAACTGTGTCTAGAAAACAACTACTAACCACACCTTTGGACTGCGCGTGTAAGTAGAGTGGCAAAAGCAAAATCCATCATTTGGTGTTATCGCAATGTTCGCTTGTTCTAGCGGGCGGCAAGGTCGCCTATCGGCCGTACTCTCCGAGTATATAGGGCTCTGGCCGCCGCCACACTGCATGGTCATACACCGCGTATAAACGACACTGCGTTCGCTGCAGACATAATGACATAATTTTCTGTGGACACGCCTAAGCACATTTGAAGCATGTTTTCTTCTAAGATGTCGGCAGACAGGCCTTGTAGGACCAAAGTGGCGGTACCGTTATCCCAGGAAAAAGGAAATGCGTTAATGCCTGCAAACTGTTCTTTGTATATGATATGTGTCTGTGGCTTTAGAGTGTCCCTCCATTGCTCCTTTTCGAGAGCGCCGCCAGTTTTATTTAATGCACCGTTCATCTCATCCTTTTTTTTACGTAAATAAACTCCGTGAATATGGCCAAGAAAAAAAAAACAAGAGTGATTTAATTTGGTAACGGAGAATGTGGTAGATTTCAAATGGATAGGATGGCGCTGCTTCCAGACGCACTATACACGGCATTGCATTCTTATAGAATTCCCAGTTAGCCTTGAAAAAAAAATAATTAAGCGTGACCGGTTGTGGAGCAACTGTGCGAAAAGCACCGCCGGCCACACACACAGAAAAACGCACACGCACACCAATAGAATCAGAAGGAGCAGGAGGGAGGACTACGAGGCGCATCGAGAAGACTGGTCAGTCGCGAAAGCTTCGAAAATAGCCAGAAGAAAAAAGTTGAAACAGTTCAGAAAAAGGACGTGGCGATGTTTACACGGCGTCGCGTGCCTGTAGGGCTGCTTATGGAGGAAAGCCCGATTCAGGTTGTTGTGCGATTTTGCTCGCAAATACGCTGTTGCGACGGCGCGTGCCGCTGCTTCCTCCACGCTTTTTTGTTTTTTGCCACATGGGAGACGTCCCAACTCTGAAATCGCAAGTAAAATCGCACCATGTCAATCAGACATTAGCGTCCGCTGCGTTCATAAATTAAAATAAGTGTAATTTTTTTTTTTTTTGCATCCGGTACCGTATTTTTTTTTTCCATATTACAGGGTTTGTTGTCGCTTACACCCATTCCATTTATTAACAATATAAACGGTGGCCAGCGTTTACCCGCCTTGCGCATAGCTTTATCGAATCAAGTTTCCTTCTACGACGTGTCATCAATCGGCTCTTTGGTGGATGGCGGCGCTAATTCTGGTGAATGGTGTCCCGTGCGCTAGTCTCAGCCTTGCTTGTCATTATGGTGCAACGCAGTATGCTAAATGATTATATATATATATATATATCCTGACGAAGCCGAGTCTCTCGGCGAAACTGTCTAATACATGCAATAAACTCCTAGCGTAGCAACTCGGCAAGTACGGATCACTGACTTATTACATTCTCCCGGTCCATTGTTCTCAAACTACTCTGCCTCACCTTTATATATATATATATATTGTTTATCATCAAGATCTATCTATAGTATATACATAACCTTTTGTTTTCTTCTTGGATAACGACTTTTAAGTACAAAAAGACTCCTTCGTCGGTCGTTATTAGTAAAAACGTGGCTTATTTATACAACTAATTTAAATTTGTTTCTTGATTTAGAGGAAACTAACCATTTTCTCTCTTTTTTTGCTCGCTACAGACTTTGCTCGAGACTATCTCCAAGTTGTCCAGTGATCTGGCAGACCTGGATGAACGAGTGGACAAGCTAGAACGTGCTCTGAGAAGAATTTCCGGTGCGTTCTTCGCTTCCTTTCCTTCGGTCTTATACTTTGGAATAGAACCAGCCTCCTTAGCACGCCCACCATTCCTCTATGTACTCCAAGGAGGATAGGAAGCTTCTGGAAGTGACATGACGCCCTCAGAGGCGAAGCCACAAGTGGGCACAGAGGGACACGCCCTCGACGATGACGAAAACATCTGCGGTTTTGGTCATCAGTTTGCAGTCATGTCCCTCCACACTTCTGGCTTCACCTCTGGTGCCGTCGTGTCACCTCCAGAAGCTTGCTATCCTCTATGATGTACTCTATGTAGCGCCATCTTTATGTTTTGTGTGTCTCTCGAGCCACACAGTCACACATGGTACTGCCTGCATCGTACAAAAGACGCGGTTTGCAGACATTATGACAGGATTACATATCTGCGAACACGTCTCAAGCATATGCGAAACATGCTTGCTTCGTACCCATGCGTGCAGACAAAGTATTTGCATGATCAATCTGACGCCGTATACAAGAAAAAAGCAAGCCTCAGTCTGCCGACTGTCTCTTGTATTATGCATTAGCAGTGTCACGGGTTGCTTAAGTGTAAGTGGAACGTTGACTGGCGATCTGAGCTTGCTCTTATGACAAGTCCTTGCTGAGGAATGGTCGTCCAGCACCTATCACTCTTTTCGTTGTTTCTCTCTTGGAGTGAGTCGCGAAAACAGCAGCGCGGACTCGGAGGAGCTGTTTCCGGCTACTGAATTTGCGTGTTTTCTTCTAAAGCTCGCACATACCAAGAAAATAACAAATTATTCTGAAAAAAAGATTGGCAGTGACCTTTACCTTCGAAGTCCTATATAATGCATAAAATGCAGTATTAGGAGAGATTTCTTTTTCTTATTTTTTTTCCAACTGTTTGCTATACATTATATAGTCGTTCCACCCCTATACTTTTATCTATCAATTTTAGGGAAGCTGAATTGGCGTGCCACGTGACCAGGAAGGTTGTAGAAGGGTAGTGGAAGGGAGGCAGCTGGGGCGGGGAGAGGGTATCTAGGACGAGGAGGAGAAAGATTAGTAGAAGGAGGGAGAGGGAAGAGAGGAAAGAAAAATGAATAAACTGAACTGGTGTATTACATAGCGTTAGTACAATAAACGCTAGAGGCTCAGCTGGCGCTGGTGTCTACGGGACTTCCGGTTGCAAATTGAAGCAGACAGCATGCAGTCTACTTTTCCAGTCTTCCTGTGTATTCCTATGGGAAAACGCGCGTGAATTTTGTCTCGAAAAATAACGTGAATAACTTTTGTTATTTCGGTTGCACCGGATAGTATGTACCTTTATTAATATTGTGAAAGAGTAATTGCTTTAGTTACAGCGTTTTTCCTTTACTACTGAACGAGTGTAAACTTCGCTATATTTCAGGCCCAAACCTCTGTTCCATGGCAGGTATGTAGAAACAAGCGACGATTCTAAGCAAAATAACGATCGAAAGGAATGTGGAGTGTGTTCAAAGTTCGCCAGCATTTCGTTGGTGCTTATATATATTGCTAATTTGCCTGTCCTCTCACTATATGAAAATGACCCCGACGTGCGTTTTTACGAGTGGTTAAAAAAACGTTCGAAACGTAAAGAATAAAGTACATGGGCTACGAAAGCTGTGGTTTATTATTTATTTATTTATTTGGTGATACTGCCAGCCTTCTGTAGAACGCCCAGGCAGGAGGTATACAAAAACAATATTCAAGAACAAGCGGAAGCAGTACAAACAAGCAGACAGAGTTACTACTCAACAAAGTGCGAGAGTAGGGCATCACTAAATGTATCTATGGATCTCAAATTTACAACACCTTCAGGAAGCTTATTCCACTCACACGTGGTTCTAAGAAAAAAGGATGCTTTAAACAAAGTGGTTCGACACAATGGTTCGACAAGTGTTAATTGGTGTTTGCCTCGCGTGGGCCTTGTTTCGTTAAACGAAGTGTAATCACAGAGATGCAGTCGCAAATTACCTTGTATCATATTATAAAGAAACTTCAGCCGTTCTTTTTTTCTCCGGGTTCCTAAATCACTCAATCCCGATCTTGGATACAAATCTGAAACGGATGACATAAAACCATAACGGTTGTACACAAACCGCAATGCTTTTTTCGCACAGTCTCTAACATATCGATTGACACCTTTGTATGAGGGTCCCATACAATACATGCATATTCTAGCATTGGTCTTATGATGGTCTTTAAGCAGTCAGTTTCGTTTCATAAGAACAGAGGTTAATATTTCGTTTCAAAAACCAGAGCTTCCGCATTGCTTTACGAGCTATAAACTCAATATGTGCACCCCATGACAAATCAGAGGTAATTAAAACTCCGAGGTATTGATATTGCTTAACATTTTCTAGCGGTACTCCATTGATAGAATATGTAAAAAGCAAAGGGTTTTTCTTCCGCGTCACGTTCAATTGAACGCACATTTTACAGTTCAGAACCATATTCTATTTTATGCACCATGCATGAACCAAAGATAGACAATAATTTAATTCTTCTTGATCAGACGGGTTGTTTACCTTAGCAAATAAAACACAATCGTCAGCAAAGAATCGACTTTGTACATGGGGGTGTTGTATCTTTAAATCGTTAATAAAAATTAAAAACAAAAGCGGCCCAAGGACCGAGCCCTGGGGCACGCCCGATAAAACGGGTGACTTGGGGGAAAAAACAGAGTCAACACTAACACACTGCGCACGGTTAGTAAGATAGGAATCGAGCCATCGTAATATGTTCTCGTTACTGATGATGAAGCGTAACTTATGCAGTAGTTTGTCATGCGAGACGCGATCAAACGCTTTTGCAAAATCTAAAAAGATAACATCTGTCTGTCCGCCGATATCAACGACAACCGCAAGTTCGTGTTTCGCATGAACAAGTTGTGTTACAGAAGAAAAACCCCGTCTAAATCCATGCTGTTCGTCCTGAAAAAACATACTGTCCTCAAAACATGTTATAAGATGTTTGAATACGAAGTGTTCAAGAACTTTACTGGCTGTACACAAAAGTGAAACAGGTCTGTAGTTTTCGACGCATTGACTGTCACCCGATTTAAATATTGGTATCACCCTAGCCTTTTTCCATTCATCAGGCACGTCTCCCGTATTGAGACTGTGGCAATAAATCAAATGCAAAAACTTTGCCGACCATTCAGCATATCTAAACAAAAAAACATTCGGAATGTCGTCGGGACCGTGGCTCTTCCTAACATCAAGGTTAAGGAGGGCCGCAAAAACTCCCTCTTCAGTAATGCTGATGTCCGGAATCACTATTCTAGAACTCTCATAACTTGGAACTATTCCCGTTTCCACAGTAAATATAGACGTGAAGTACTCGTTGGAAGCATTTGAAATTAACTGTTTGTAATTTGTTAGGATATTGCACAGTCTCATGTCCGAGAAAGAACATTTCTTTCGTTTCAAAAACCTCCTAAACTTTCGAAGATCACTAAGCAGATAGTTATGCAAGGTGACGTTAAAAAAACGGTGCTTAGCCTTTTTAACAGACGACCTCATCTGTCTGCGCAAAAACGGTAAAGACGAAATGTTATTCCCGTTACCAAATTGACGAACTCGCCGTATTTTACGCTTCAAATGTAGAATGTCACGTGTAATCCATGGGTTAAACTTTTTCACTCTCCTAATACGGAATGGAACAAACTTCTGAATGCAGTGCTGAACTATACCCCTAAACCGTAACCACAATTCATTGGCAGTACTTGTAACAGGATCATACATATTGTAAAAAAGCGAATAACTTTCCTGCAGAACGTCTAAAGTATCGACATCATCCGCATTGTTAAAGTTACAATACCGCTTAATGTCGACAGTAGTTGATAACTGACAAGCCAACGTTAGAGTGCATACTACTAAAGAGTGATCAGAGATACCTTCGACTATTTCGCACTGGGCACCGTGTCGTGCAATCTTAGAGGAAACAAAAACCATGTCAAGAAGGCTTTCACTGGCATTAGTAACACGCGTCTAACTACGAACGATTTGAGTCATATTGCATGAAAAAGCAATGTCAACCAACAAATGAGAGTGCTGACACTCCCATAGTGGTTGCATATGATCCCAATCAGTATGTGGTAAATTAAAGTCACCCGCTAGTATAACATGAGTGTAACGATGGTAAGATGCAGATATAAAGTCTTGTAATGCCAGCAGGTGTGAAACGCCGGCATGAGGCGGCCGATAAAAAGCACCTACAAGGATTGACGTCGTTGAAAAAATAAGTTTTACCCAAATCATTTCAGCATCGAAAGTACAGCTCACAATAGAGCATGATATGCTATCTTTCACAGCGATAGCCACACCTCCGCCTCTCGAACAACGATCTTTTCGAAAAATTTTGTAACCAGCAGGAAACACCTCATCATTCATCACTTGCTCATTAAGCCAAGTCTCTGTGACGACGACCACTTTTGGTTCCTATGTCAGAAAAACGGCCTCTAGCGCCGTTGCTTTGTTTAGCAGACTACGAGCAGAGCTGGCCAAATTACTCATATTTTGTAATTAAATTACATTACTAATTACTTTGCTGAAAAGAACTGAAATGTAATTAAATTACATTACAAATTACCACAGCCAGAAAGTAATTAATTACCACTACAAATTACTTTTAAAAGTAATGACATTACTTTCGCATTACTTTTGTATACTTTTACAGGCTGCGCCTACGCAGGCACAGCCTGTGTAGGCGCAGTTTCAAACACTGCTGGCGGCTAAATTCTCGTGCTTTCCGCTGCATTTTGTGTTTCATGGTGCATGTATTTTCCCGAGGACATTGGGAAGCATTGTACTACATTTGAAAAAAAAGCAGTAAACTATTTTTGTTGGGTACGCGTGTGACAGAACGAATGCGACTGGAATGTTAGTTGTTGTTGTTTTTTTTTTTGTTTGTTTTCTACGGTAAGTTTTTACGGCGCCGTTCGATTAGCCGCGTGTCAAACGACAAAGCGTTTAGCTGTCGAAATTAATTAACAACAGAAGATAGCCGAAAGGCATGCATTTTTCACGCTCACAAATAACATGTTTACCGATAGACAGAGGAACGCACGCGACTGATCCGTTTCCCACCCCAACCCGGACAACTATTTTTGGAGATGTTTGAGGACCCTACGCGGATTATCTCTGGGAGGGGGGACAAACTATTGTCATTGTTCGCAAAACAGCGTCGAGGACCGTTCCACCAGGGGCCTTAGTTCGACCTACTTCCCCTCCTTCGTTTCCCGAGAATGTCGAGCAGAAAAGCTCGAATGGCAGAAACTTACCAGCCCTATTTCTCACAGTGGAAGATAACACAGAGAGGGTACGCAGCATGCATCAGGAAAAGTAAGCGGACACTTTTAAGAGGGGCCAGAAAACGTCGAATGCAAAACCGCAAAACATAGGTGGAGAATCGCGCTGAGCGGGTTTTTACAGTTCAAAAGAGTGGCAGAAAATGTCTATACTTCGTTTCAGCTTCGGTCCAGACGCAGCCGACGCTACAAGCGCGAGCATGTGGCCCAGAATAGTGCTTGCACTGCACGAGCGCGCGTGCTTGGCAGGGATGCTGAAAGCCCGGAGCTCGCGCTTGTAGCTTTGGCTGCGTCTGGACCGAAGCTGAAACGAAGTATAGCTGATAGCGGGCGCGAGAGTTGCACCAGCCGCATTAGCATCAGCAACATAGCGGCGGCCAAAGAGCGTTTTTTGGAAAGGTGTAGAGGAAAAAGAAAAAGTAAAATAAAAAGAAAAGCGCTCTTGTGCATTGTGGACACAAAAAATATGCCTGGTGCGAAAAAGTAATTAGGTAATTTAATTACAATTACCGTCGCTGGAGTAATTAATTACATTACTAAATTACCTGCTACAAAAAGTAATGAATTACATTACTAATTACTGGAACAGGTAATTAAATTACTGTAATTTCATTACAGTAATTACATTACTGCCAGCTCTGACTACGAGTATTCAAATTTAGGAGCCTAAAGGGGAGGATGCTCCATTTGACTGCGGAGGCATACTATCAAGGCCTGGGGTGTCACTGCTCGGTTTTAGAATGTCAATAAATGGCCTGAACAACGAGCCCGCGGGCCACAACTAAGCATTTAGAATCTTATCGAAATCATTTTCACCTACTGACACATGAAAGGAAGAGTAGCTCTCGTGCTTCGTGGTTAACGTCGTACAAACACAGAACTGTGGACGAACTGCACTGTTCACAATGTCAGCAAAGTCGTCACATGTAGTCGACGGATGCAGACGTGAAACAAAGAGTGCTCGACGCCTAGGAGGCCTAGGAGCGGCAGACAGCTTACTGTTTGCGCCAGTTCCCACAGAAGGCTGAGGCCTGCGCTTGCGTTGAACGGTAATGAAACCATCGGAGCCGTTTTGGTTGCCCTGTGCAGCCGGGCCGAGCGAAGTTACAGCGGAATCGTTGTCTTGCAGATGTGGTTCATTCGGCTGTCCGGAAGACGGCAAAGCGCCCGAGTGATGGGCAGTGCAGGCGTCACCGTTCACCGATGCGGCCGTTGCCCCTCGCGCGAGCACGGGGGTTGTCTTTGCGATTATCTCGCCGACGGAATTGTGGGCTTTGCTTTGCAGCGTTGCTGCGTAGGAAGGCCAGGCTGGTTTCTGCAGCAGACTGTTTCGCAGTAATTCCGTGTTCTTGGCAATTCACTATTATTTCCTATGTTGGGCAGTTTTTATCGCGCACCTGTTCTCTGGCTTCCACCCATTTGCAAAGATTTGGAGCGTGCGGGTGATGATTTGAACACAGAACAAGCATTTTCGCACATATTCATCAGCAGAAAGAATAAAGCAGTACTTATTTATTGCGAAACGGACAGTTATTTTCATTGTCTGCAAGCACAAGGAGTTACTTATCCAGCGTTACTGCGTAGTTCTTGCCGTCTCTCTTGGTTTTCTACTTGTCCTTTGTTCGTTTGCCACGTATATCCCCCATGCTGGACAGCGTCGGCTAAGTGTTCGCGCTAACCGTTTTTCATGCCGCGAATTTCAAATAAAAATGCTGTAAGTGACCAATTATTTCGTCCACGTGACTGAGAAATGTTCAAATGTGCCTAGTACGTACAACTTATTCGTGATATTTGCTCTTATAATCGTGCGCAGCGAGAAAATGCACTCGCTTTTTCCCATAGAAATGCATTACCGGAAGTCAATTTCTGACTGCTTGCTGTCTGCTTCAAAATGCAACAGCACACTAGCGCCACCTGAGCCTCTAGCGTTTATTGTAATAAATTTATGGTGTTGGCCAAAGAAGGGTGAGGGAAGAAAAGCACCAAGGGGAATGGGGAGAGAAATGGAGAAGGGAGGGACGTGGGGAGCACCCTAAGAGGGAGACGGACGGGGAAGAAAGGGAGGGGTAAGGAGAAGAGAAATGGGATGAAGGAACTGGGTGTGTGACGTGATGTATATTTGCCCCCTCGGTTAAATTTAGCGGGGAAGATGGAGTAATGAATAGGTCACGTGACGTCCAAATTCCAGCTATATCTAGCGTGGAAACTGAAATAATGTATGTCCCGTGACGTCAAGTTTTTTGGTAAACTTAGCGGGGAAACTGAATTGACGTATACGTCACGTGTCAATTTTCTTCCTCGGTGTATATGTCACATGGTGTTAGATCACGTGACGTTAATTTCTCCGCTAAATTTAGCGGAAAATGCACGAACGGACTGACGGGCGGACGGGCAGATGGACGGACGGTTCAGAATTTTCGGATGGGCGTTCAGCTCAAAAGCATTTATGTTTTTAAAAAAATTTAGATCTGTAAAACACCGTGCCATACCGACGTTTGTGAGGCCTCTTCGATAAAATTCATCCACACTCCTCCGAGCGGCGTACACCACGTCGACTTTTCTTCGCTTATAGTTTGAACAAAAGCTGCCCGCATCTTTTGGCACAAACTGAAGTTGAACTCGTCCTTCGCATATTTAGCAAATTTGTTCGCCATTCCAAAAAGTATGAGGGAACATTGCAAGCGGTGCACTGCCCCTTTTGTTATGTGCGCTTCAGAGTGCGAAATGCTAGACGTCGGTGACAATGTACCGGGTGTTTCCGTGCACTACTCTCCCGTAAAAAAAATAAAAAAATGTTTAAGTAGGTTAATGAATGAAATGTACTAAAGCGTCAAAAAGTGTGTTTTTAGGTAGCGCATTTATAATTGTAAATTTCACAAGTGTAGGTTTCCGAAGATAAAAAAAAAAAATCTGTCATTTCAGTGCACAGGAATTAAAACGATAACAAGCCGTCTGATTGACGCTGGCACTCCCATGTAGCACTACATAAGGCCAAAAATGTGAAAATTTGTTTGAGATGAACCACCAGAAATTCTATCGAACAGATCCGAGTCTGAATTGTTTCCGCTGTCATTTCTGTGCAGAGAAATAACAAGATTGTTAGAATATGAGTTCTTTTCCCTAGAAACCTACACACATAAAATTTAGATCGGTAGACGCTCCACCTAAACACATCTTTATAAAAATATTTATTGCAACCCGTCCACTGACTTATTTATACACATTTTATTTTACTCCCGAATGGCTCTCGAGAACACCCTGTAGAATCGGTGGATTTTGACGCGTAGTCGCTGCTATCACTCTGTGCAGACTTCCCTGACGACATCCCAAGCGACGACGTGGGTTCCTTTCTCATGGGCAGCGGCTCCGATTTTGCGGCGCCGCGAGAAAAAGGAGAGACTTCAAGCAGGACTTCGGGCCTCCCGCGACGAGACTTCTCCCAGGCGACAGCTGGCGAGGGTCGGACAACGACCGGGGCCTGGACCAATGACTACCGGACGAGTAGCCGAGACCGGAATCATCGACGAAACGGACACTGACTATAGACTATACGGCGAAAAACTGAGAGAGGGGAGCAGATGAGAGCACTTAGGGACGTCGGAACGCCGAACTCTGATTGGAAGCATGGTGGCTAGACGCAAAGGCAGCAAGTCTTTGCGTTTACCCACTATCCTTCCATTGACAGCACGGCGTTCTGGTGTACATTTTCATCTGCTCTCCCTCAGTTTTTCGCAACATCTTCCTTTTATCTTTAACCTCAAACCGCAGCTGAAGCTACAAGCTCGAGCTAGCGGCTCGCGCTCCTTGTTTTGATCGGTATCTTTCTAGCGCGAGCGCTCGTTCTGCGGAAGAATGTTTCAAAGCTGAGCTCTCTTACTTTCGCGCTTGTAGCCTTGGCTGCAGTTTCAGTTTATGGGTAAATGGTGTGTAACGAGGGAGTATTAAAAAATCCAGAAAATTAGACAAACTACCATAACAATTGAGCGATATTTCATGCATAGAAAGACCTATGACGAAGTAAAATGCGAGCGCATTTTATTGCAAGTTAACCGACGAAGTTCTGTTTTCTTTTTGTCTTGGTACGGAGTAGCCGGTATTATATTCCAATCATTACAACATCCCTTATCTCTTTTCATAGTTTTCAGTCGTCTCACGACTGATTTATTTGGAGAGAGGTAGGATGTTGGAGAAGGAAGAAGCTAGTACTATGCATGTTGAGAAAACAAACAGCATGGTACAGTTTTGTTCCTATATATACCTTCTTAACTGTGTATCGTAATGACAAGGGTCTGAGAAACTAACTAGTGAAACGAGCCTTTTATGAAATTTATCTTCCCTAAAAAAATGCTTTTAACAGCTTCAAGACTTCTGCAATTAACGTGTTTTGAGATCTCAAGAAACGTGTGAATCTACAGCAGCCTTGTAAGAATGTTGAATTCTTTTGTCAAAAACGCGCCTTAAATAGGCAAAACTACAAAAACAAATATAATGGTCAAACTTGCTGAGTGACAAGGTGTGTAGATGGGCTGGTTGAAATAGTATTAAAACAGCGGAAGGAGAACGCAGACACAGGAGTGATTTTATAATAATCACCTAACTGTGACTACATCTTTAGTAGAAAGTATTCCTGCTACAGAGATCCTGAACCAACGTGTGTCCAAATGCGCGGACTAAATACTACTCCAAACTTGCGAAACTTTTGCTAAATAATAGGAATACCAAGGAGAAGGATGGAATTTGAGCTACGCACATTGTCCATGCTGGCGTCTGGAACAGTGGCATCATTAAGGAAAAAATCTAAAACAAATTACATTTGCGTGCCCATTCCTCATCGCCTTATTTCACTAACTTGCTTAAAACGCTTTTTAGGGATGGGGCGAGCACGTGCAGCTTATATATTTACCGTGTGAATTGAACAAACCGTTGGTCTTTTGAAGGGACTGCATAAATCGGCTTCTTGACGTATCGAGCTAAGAATTTGTATCGCGGTGTACGAAGATGGGACCCTTGGGATTTTACGTATGAAGATTTTCAAGGACGAGCTTACTTGAGCAAAAGTAACAAATTTAGAGTGATAATTCGCTATCTACGGTGTTCATCTGCTAACGAAAGGCGTCTGGTTGGGCTACAGCAAAAAAAAATGGCGGCAGATGTTGACGAATGTTTTGCGTCGATGTAGTGTATTAGGAATAATAACAAGATCATGCTTTCTATGGACCAACACGCGGTTGTGACGTCACACTTCTGCGGTGGCGCTCTTGTCGCCATGGCGCATGCGCAGAAGCTCCACCTCGCGCGAACCTAGATTCTGCGCTCGCGCAGTGCCCACACCTGGTGCGCGCAAACGCGGACTTGTTTGTAAACAGTGTGTCGGTCTATACCAAAGTATCCTGCGCCGAATTTGACTCAAAAACATCATCTGCTATCAGAGCAGCATCTGCGCCTTTGCTCTAAGCTGCCTCCATCGAATGGCCGTAGCACCAGTCAGACAGCCTTTATAAGCAGACGGCCTCCGCAGGTGGCGCATTCACGCGCTTCGTTTTTTGAAACTTACTCAAATAAACTCATTATTAAAAATAATATATATTTATATATAAATATATATGCGCACACGCGCACACGCGCGCACGCACACACGCACACGCACACGCGCACGCACACGCACACGCGCACAGGCACGCACACACACACACACGTGCGTGTGTGCGTGCGTGCGTGCGTGCGTGCGTGCGTGCGTGCGTGCGCGCGCGCAGATATGCAGTTATGTTTTGGTAATATGGACCCCGTTAACATGAATCCTCCGCTATATAGACACAATTTTCAGGAACAAACTGGGAAAATACATGCATCTTTGTCTCGTTATAATAGCTAGACTCATATTATGGACAATTTTGGGGGGGAACGGAGACGTCCATAATTTCCTCATGTAGAGCTTATGGTAAGGGCTTTCTTCAGAGTTTGTGCGTATAGAGCGATCTTTGCTGACACTTGCATATGCAAATCCTCCTCTACTTTTTTAGAAACCTCCAGTTTAAGAAATCACAAGAAAGCAAAAGGCTGCACAGCGCACTCGGTTGCAAGTAAACGCAAGTGCGTGAATCCACCTTAAGCATGTTCCCCTGGTAATACCTTTTGACAAGGAGATCGCCTGCGAAATTATGCGAAATTAGTTAATAATAAAAATGCGTCATTTTCACGTACGCTAGTGGGGAGGATATACGTGCAAAGACTGGACTCCATGGTACAAATCTGCTGCGAAAAATCGACGAATTTTTGCGCGGCGGCTTTCGCTTTACGCGTAGCATCAGCACAGTGGCTGCTACGTCGCGCGCAAAACGAGCGTGTCGTCGGGCGAAGTTCGTCAGTTATTCGCCGAATAATTTGCTCCATGGAGTTCAGCCTAATGCCCGTCTCCCACTAGAACGACATTCAGAAACAAAAGACAACGACAAGCCCCAAACCGGAGTCTTTCGCGATTTGAGAGGCTTTGTAGAATAAAGGAGGCTATGCTCAAACACGAGCATCATGCACGCGAGGGTGGCTTTGGCAGGCTTGCAATCGCTCGTGCTTACTTCACGAGCACCGGACGACTAAACGCCTGCCAAAGGTACCATTGCGAGCATGCCGCATGAGTTTGAGGCTTGTCGCTGTTTTTTGTTTCTGTCTGTCGCTCTAGTGGGACGCGGGCATAAAGGGTAATAAAACAGGCAACAAGGAGCAGTTTCCGGTAAGTCACAGTGGGGAATAGTTTATTGTCGCGCTTTCTACAAGCGTTCCTGTTGTCAGGCAGTAGAAAATCGTCTTTGCACCCACTGTCCACACCGGTCACCTGCTTGAAGACCAAACTTCAGTCGGATTGTGACGGCATGAGGTGTTATCACAAGGCTTTTGTTGGTTCGCCAAATACAAGTTTCCAAAATAATCTTGTACTATGCTAAGTCATTATTAGTTAAACGGTAAATGGTTAAATGGTTTTCCAACTCTACTGCGGATTCGTTGCAACATTTTTATTGCAGACTATCATTTTATTGTAATATATTGTGTCTTTCTTTACAATATATCCTAATGTTAACAAATAGCATAATTAAGCTACGGTTAATAAAGTCTACCTTTAAAGTTTTTTTAATAATGTCACAGAGAAAGCTGCATATTAAAAAGATGCCCGTCTAAATGTGCACCAAAAAAAAAAACCTTCCAATGCGGGTATGTAAATGTTCCCATCTAAGGTGCATGTTCGTATAAAGGAGATTTAGTAAGAGAATATGAGCACCTACTAAATTATGAGCTTAATCATGGAGATAATACTGCATGGTTGACAATAAAGACCTTCAAAATCTATGCTACCGCGAATATTGTACGACACTTAACTGATGAACGCAACTTCGGCAGGTAAGTGAGGTCACAATTGAATACTTGTGTACAGAAAGCGAGCAACAGTTGCCCACAAACAATCACCAAGTCACCCTGCTATTTCGCCTCTTTTCTAGACGTCGGTTACATTTATTACAGTCCGCACACAAGGGGCTGCACATGTATTGCGCAAAACGTAAAGACTGGTACGACTCGAGCAATACTAAGAATAGGGAAAAAATTATATTATTTCTTTTTATTTTAGTTGCGTCGGACAAGTAGTCGGGAAAGTGTTAGCGGCAACAAAGAGCCGTTGCCATCAACCGAAAGCATGATTGCACTAGTTATGACATGATTTCTGATATAAAGAAACAACTATTAATAAGGCTAGAAGGCAATCATCAATATTACAGGGTCACGCACAAAAAAAGGCTCATTCCGGCCTTTTTTACAAATTTATGACGACTCTTCATATAAACGCAGTTGAAGCCTCTAACTCTAATTTACTCTAATTTTATAAAAAGAGCAGTACAATACAACAAGTGTATATGTTATGACTAATTTGTTGTTCTCCCCGCAAATAATTTGGAATTTAAAACGTAAGAAAATTCAGCTATTGTCTCTCCGAGAATACACCACGGGCACTACAAAGAGTAGCACCAGCCTAAGAATAAAACATTGAGGTACGTTAGGTATCACATTGCGTAAAAAAAGCAGACAAAAAAAAAAAAAAAAGTTGAATTTACATTTTTTTTTATTGTACACGAGAAAAAAATATAGGATTGTGTTTTTCCTGCCCCTAAAATGTGTTGCAGGCTCAGAAAATGGCGGGAGGAGCTCAACCTTTTACACTTTAGCAGAACAAGCACTGGTGAGGAGGCGAGCGTAGAGGAGAAAACCACCATTTATAACGAGCAGGAAGTTTCATAAGTGGGGCTCGTCCTGTTATTCCAAACCTGCCACAGTCAATAAGTTTTGAAAGTATAAATAGTTAGGACGGATTCTACTGCTCTCGCTGGCTTCAACCTGTGGTACTTCTCTCTACCCTTTAAATAATGACCCTGGCAAATTACGCACGACAGCTGTCAGAAAATCCAGTACTTTCACCCGACTCAAAACCAGGCCATATCCGTTTAATACCGGACGATCTTTACCGTGGTACTTCATGTATAAACATAGAAACTCAAGGCCAATAGGGGATAGAGCGAAACGAACGCTAATAAGGCCACAAAGCTTAGATGCGTGGGCAGCTCAACCATCAAACACGATCTCGTAAAAAAGAAAAGACTTAAGCTCAAGCTGTCGGGCGAGCTGTCCGTAGGCAAGTTGTTCCCAACCCAAGATTACAATAATCAAGAATACAGAGACACACAACGACAAACTGTGTCTTTTGTTGTGTTACTCTCCACTATCGTTTCGTCCTGTCATCGTCTCCTGTTTCAGAAGAAAAAAGAAGACCGCTGAAATATGACCTCTGGAAGGGAAGCTGCATATAGTAAATATCAGTAAAGATAATCAATCACAGTATGCGGACATGGTATATGGGTCGGTCACAGAAGCCAGTTAGCAGTAGTCAGCACGTGGCCTTCATTCCAGCAGGTTGTCAGAAACTTGGAAAACACTGATTCTTGCGGTAACTGGAAAACAAAAAACAAAAACAAAAACAAAAAAAAAACATGAAGAAGTCAACCTGAGACAGGTTAACAATGGAAGGCCCGTGTTTTGTTCACGGAGTGTCAGGATTCCAGTATTCTTCTCATTCGCATCACTGGACCGGTCCTCACTGCGGCTTGATGGCAGAGGCCGAGTCTTCGTCTTCGTCATTTGTTTGCGTTCCCGAATTTCGTTTCGCCGGAGCCGGCTCAGACTTGCTGCGCGAGTGGTGCAGGGTGTACTGGCGGTACTCCGGAGGCAGGGCGCCCAGGATCTTGAGTTTTCCGGCCATCGTGTCCGGGACGGCCACACTGTAGTCCGGCTCCCAAACAGACCCTGAGGCGACAAAAAGATGTCGGTTGAGACACCGCGTCCGCTGAGTGCGGGCCCTGCTACCCTTGATGCTAACTCCACTTGCTACTGAAAAGTTCGGTTTCAACAGGGTCTTTTTCAGAGCTTTATTCTGGCGTAAAAATGTTCGTAAAGAAAAACGCAATAAACTGAGTGCAATGAAACGTTCCACAAAAGTGTCTTTAGGTAATGTATTTATCGTATCCATTTTGCCGGTGGGTTTCCGGCGGTGGGCTTGGAACCGACCACCTCCCGTAGCCGTGACGGACGCTCTGTGCCCCACGGAGTGGTTTAGCGTAATGTTTCGGAAACAAAAAGCGCACGTGCTCCAAAAAAAGAAAAAAAAGGTACAACGTGAGAGTAGCACTCGTGTTCACCGGATCTCCATCGGAAGAACTTGTGTCGGCGCCTCGGGTTGAATGCGCAGCCCACTTCGCTCATCAGGTGCACCTTCCACGCGTCGTCCCCCGGGGCGAAGTTCTGGTGGCACAGCGGGCAGTGGTTCGCCTGGTGGGGTGGCTTGGCCGCTGCACAACACCGGGCCTCAAATGATGGGAACTATAGGACTCGTCTTTTGGTCATCGGAAATTTGTTTGCGCCGTTTTTATTGCGGACCTCGAAAACCGACGTACTTTCCGACGCGTAGTGAATATACGAGACCGATATCAGGTCATAAATATTCCCCCTGACTGTTGACTTTGCGCTTTGCATGTTTGCTCAGTGCATTGTGTCCTTGATCCACAGCTCTCCCCCGAGAGTGACTATCTTCTCACCTTCAAGCTCTTCATTTAGTTTACTATATCCTTGCTTTCCTGACGCCGCTGAATGCTGCTTTTCTCGTGGACACAATGGCGGCTGCGTGTGCCTTGCTTAAAAAATATTATATAAATATTGAATTTGTTTTTGCTCATTATAATAGAGACATTTCAAGAGTTTACAGACAAAGCTTCATTTTGGAAAGTCGCTTCAGGGTTCGAAACTATAAGGCGACCATCTAGGCAATAAGATGGCTGATGGCGACTCCTAATGTTTAGACTAGTTCGCCACAACGGACCTACATCTAGGGGCGATGTTTAGAGCGCATGCTCAGAACGAGCTCACAATAACAGGCTGCTAAGATCGGCAATCTTTATAGTGCGGAATGCACGTTGCAAAAGAACTGTGGAAGCTCGCTGTTAGAACGCGCTCATCAGTCGCGCACACCGCTATTGTCGCCACCGAATCCTCCCTACACGGGGAGAAACTGGAGGAGAGGAGGATGTAGGTGCGCTCGATATTGGTGTCGCGGGGTATAAAAGAATGTTGCGACCGACTACGAGCTGAGGCGAAAGAGTTATGTTTACTCCACGAGCGCTCACGCGAAAAAAGAAGAAGAAGACGTGCTTCGAATAGGTCTGTGCTCTTTTCGTCTCCCTTATTTGTGGCTATATTTTAACAGTATCAACCTTCTACACGTTTTTCTTTGAGCCTATACAAGTGCGAAGCCTGCCTCCAGCTGCATGCGTGCAGGTGTGACGGTTGGCTGGGGATTATTCCTCGGCTTTCCTGAAACGACTCCGCTATGTCCACCAGAACTCCCTCACTAACGGCAAGTCAAAGAGCTGCAACCGACCGATACAGCGTGAGTTCCTCGATATGCGGTACATCTCTTGCAAAATCGGAGTACGAAGCTTCCGCTGTTGACTTGGCAGAAGACCTCGCAGCTGGTCAACATTCAAATATCAACGTATTGAATGCCGAAGAGTCACAACTCTGTGACATGGAGCTCAACGACGACGAAGAAGGCTGGCAGACCAAAGGAGCTAAAAAACGCAAGAAGACTGACTCAAACTCAAGCAAAAGCACGGATACAGTTACCCACTCGCCGAAAGTGACAGAAGGGCTGACTGTCATCTTTGTATCAACGGTTGAAAATCAGCTCATCGCAACACTCAGCAGCCTTAAACTGTCAATTGCTTTGGAACAAATGTGCCCGGAGTGCATTCTTGAGGTCCGTCCCAACAAAAGACTCAACCTAATTGCAGTAGACACGCGCAATGGCCAGACGACTCGAACGCTCCTTGCCTGCTCCGAGCTTTGTGGAATGAAGGTCAGAGCATATGAGCCGGTTCCGCGACACTACGCCGTCGGAGTCATCACAGACGTTGATCCTGCGCTTTCTGAAGTAGAGATCGAACAGAACGTGAGATCTCCGGAAGGTCGCGTGGCAAGATTGCAACGACTTGGCAAGAGCACAGCAGTGAAGCTGTCCTTCTCTACAACGACACTGCCAAGCTATGTTTACCTCGGCCATGTCCGTCACCCAGTCTCTCTATTCAAGGAACGCCCCATACAGTGCCGTAAGTGTTGCGCGTATGGACACCGAGAAGCGACTTGCCAGCGACCTCCTATTTGTAGCCGCTGCGGAGATTTACATGAGAGCAACACCGAGTGTTCGGCGCAAGAAAAGTGTGTCAACTGTGGACAACCTCACGCTGTTACTTCTTCATCCTGCCCCAAATGGAAGAAAGAAAGCGAGACTCGCAACTACGCACGTCTACATGCCGTTGATTTTCGTGCTGCAAGGACAGCTGTCCAACAGTATAAGACAGCCAACGCAAATCAAAATGGTCAGCCCCCTCCAAGCCCACCGAAAAAAAGGAATGATCCCATCAAGGAGCCTAATGTCAGTGCAGTGAATTACGCTGCAGCACTTCAGCGAAAAGGCAAAACGACGCAGGGAGCTTCTGAATTGAACAACCACCACACCTGCACTGTGGAATCGAAAGCCGACACTGTCAGACCAGCATTGAATGTGACGCCTGCACTGAAGCCGCAGCCTCCTCCCAGCCCAAATGCTGAACCTACAGCTAAATCTGCAAGGGAAAGCTGGATTCCACTTCTTCAGAAGGCAACCCGCATGGCTCACGCTTTTCTATCTACTGTGGATGCGCAGTGGGCACGACTTCTCCTCTCATTCCTTAACATGATTCTTCCTCTTATGGAGTCATAGTAAAGGGAGGGAAAGCCAACAGGCCGTGTCAACGAAACCGGAACCCCAAATTCCCATCGATTCTCCAATGGAACGTGAACGGCCTTCGTACACGCATTCCTGAACTTCGGCAAATTCTACAGCAGAGAACCATAGATGTAGTTTCACTTCAAGAAACCAACATCCTACAAGGTGAGGTACGACTCTCTCCATATGTTTTCTACAATTCTACCACAATTGACTCAAATACTAGGTCTCGAGTTTCACTTTTGGTGAGATCAAGCCTCCATCAAAGCGTCCTGGACCTTTCAGATCTCTGCTCATTAACGGCAGAGTATGCGGGAGTCATAGTAAGGCTCGGCACGCAAGACACCACAATAGTTTCCATTTACGTAGCCCCTGGGGGCACATGGGACCCAGATGTGTTGCACCAAATTCAACAGAGAGCTAAAGGTGAACTTTTATTAGCTGGAGATTTCAACGCACACAACATGAACTGGGGTGATAGCCGAACCAACAGAAGGGGAAGACGCCTGGAAGACACCATTGCGGCCCTGAACCTCACAACTCTAAACAGCGGAGCACCCACATTTATCCGTAAAGGGGTCAGAAAAAGCGTCCTTGATCTCACATTTGCATCGCCTGCGATTAAAGTGTCGTGGGCAATACAACCAGACACATGGGGTAGCGACCATGTTCCCATCATTATAGCCTCGCCGAACGCAAGTGCAGTCGCCACCAGAACATGCAAAGTAGTCAACTGGGACCTTTACCGTGAATATATGGCAGCATCGGTAACTGCGGCTGACACTACAGACCTACCTGCCATCATTGAAAACTGCATTCGACGAGCGACCCGACTAGTGAAGGTTCCCATCACGCGACCTGTCCCGGACCTAGAGTTTCTCAACCTCCGAGCGGCACGGAGACAAGCCCAACGACGGGCTGTGCACACAGATACAGAATACGACTGGGCACGTTACAAAAAAATAGATGCGGCGTTCAGGAGGCACACGAAAAAATTGCAGCGCTATCAGTGGGCTCAAAAATGTATTTCCTTCGGGAATCCGAGGGGAGCCGCGCAAGCTTGGCGGTTAGTTGGCGCCTTGGCAGCTGCGAAGGTCCCTTGTCACCCAATTGCAGCACTCGCCATCAGGAACGACAAGACCATGACTGAAACGGCAGAACTGCTAGCTGATGAATTTGCGTGCCCCCTTCCTCCACCAGCCGTGGCTTTACCCCAAGAGCTGATAGGCCCTTCCATTTCTGAAGCATCCACAGCAGATGACGACTTCACCATCTTTGAACTGCAATAGGTGCTCCGACACTGCAAACGCCGAAGTGCACCCGGGCCAGATGGAATCACGTATCACGCATTGAAAAACATAGACCAAGCTTATCACCCACAACTTTTAGAGACACTCAACTCAATATGGAGAACAGGCATCCTGCCTATGACCTGGCTAGAATCAATCGTAATTCCGGTATTGAAATGCGGTAAGCCGAGCCACTCCTCCTCATCCTATAGACCTGTGTCCCTGACAAGCTGCCTGGGAAAGATACTTGAGCGCCTGGTCTTGAGACGCCTGACATGGCACCTAGAGCAATCACATGCGCTGCCACACCAGCTGTCAGGATTTCGTGCGAAGAGGTGTACAGCAGACGCAATGGGCGACTTGGCATCTGCACTCGAAGAGGCAAAAGCACGCCGCAACATGCTTCACTGTGTGTTCTTAGACATAAAGCGGGCATTTGATACACTTCCGCATATTGTTATCCTCCAGCGCCTCAGACATCTCGGAGTAAAAGGGAAAATGCTTGAATATATTAAGGCATTTCTCTCTGGTAGAACGAGTCGGGTCAGGGTCCCGGGAGCGCTTAGCAGTCCACGTACTGTGACTCAGGGCGTTCCACAGGGAAGTGTCCTTAGTCCTTTACTTTTCAATGTGGCCATGGCAACGCTTCCAAGCTCACTTCGCCAGCAGGGACCGTTCCTTGTACAGATATACATCTATGCGGATGATGGGGCTCTTTGGTGCGCTGGCCCAACTCGAAGGGCAAGGAAGATTCGTTGTCAACTCCAAGAGGCACTCGATACAATCTGCATTGCCACCGAAAAACTCGGACTGACACTTTCCCCTGAGAAAACAGCAGCGCTGCTTTACCGTCCGAGAGGACGCCCCCCCGAACGAGCGCTGCAACTCAAGATGGCTAGGATGCCAGTCAAGAGAGTGAGGACATTTAGATATCTTGGATTGTTGTTGGATGATCGGGTAACCTGGAGACCGGAAGTCCGCAAAGTTCTCTCCAAGTGCCGCAGCCTTTTCGGAGTTCTACGGTGCCTCCGCGGCCATGCCTGGGGAACACCACAACACGCCCTCCTTCAGTTATATAAAGGTTTAATCCTTTCCCGCCTACATTATACTTTGCCACTTCTCAACATCGGACCAGCACAACAACGTGATGTTGAAACATTTCACCGTGTGGCACTAAGGATGTGCGTCGGACTGCCGCGATACGCGGGAAACGTTGCCACACTCGTTGCTGCCGAGGAATGGCCTGTTTTTCTCCGGGCTGATGAGCGCGCCTGCCGTCACCTTGCGAGAATTCATGGTGTGTCCTCTGGGAGTTCACTACTCTCACACATCCTTGACCGCCCCAACTCCCGCTTTGGCTATTTGGCTAGACAGTTCGAAGATCTTATAGGACCGCCCGGACATATCCCTCCACCCCCGCAGCCCCATCTAGAAGTACCACTGACGATAAGTGAAACTCCCCCTTACATGCATAGCAAGGCGAGTGTTTCTGGGACAATTTCTCGCCTTTTGGCCCAGGAACTACTCTACACAGAGTATATTGGATGGCTGCAAGTATACACCGACGGCTCCACTAGTCCGGCGACAGGAACTACCACGACAGCAGTCTTCATCCCAACTCACAACGTCTGCATTGCAGACAGACTAAACTTCGCCGCAACCTCTACTACTGCGGAGCTGGTGGCTATTTGGCGGGCTTTGGAGCTCCTAGTGCGAAGTGGAACGCCAGGGAGAGCAGTCATCCTCACAGATTCGAAAGCTGCTCTTCATCTTCTCCGGAACCCCGAGACAGGCACTCCATTAACTGCAACAACTGTAGCATCTGCCAGGTCGGCTGAAAGAAAGGGTTGGCAACTTGCTTTTCAGTGGTGTCCTGCGCACACTGGAATGGCGGGAAATGAGAAGGCGGATGCCCTCGCTACTGAGGCCCATGGACTCGAGACCCCAACCATTTCCCTTCGCCAGTACAACGAAGCATGGCGATTTATACGAAATGTCTACCAGAAGCGCCACCCACACCGAGAGACGGCTGAAGGACGGCCCCCTCCAGCAATCCCCCATACGCTGTCAACAGAACAAGCGTCACTGTTACATCGGCTGAGGGCAAACTGCGCAAACACAAGGTCAACTCTGCACGAACTTAAACGAGTCAATAGTCCTGATTGCCTACACTGTGGAGCCCTAGAGGACATTGAACACGTGCTACTAGTATGCACAGAATACGAAGAAGAGCGTAAAACCTTGTTTCAAAGCTACACTTTCAATGGATTTCCTTCCTCCAACACTCGGGAACTCCTCATCCCAGAAGCCCCACGTCGGCTTGTCCAGAGGGCTTACAAAGACCTCTTGGATTTTTTGAGTGAGACTGGTTTGGCAGACCGTCTTTGATCAAATACCAGACACTGCAAACAGCAAGGTTGTTAAATTGAAACGCACACTTGTGCCAAACCCCCATCACATTATTGGACTGGTTTCCAAATTTCCACACTATCTCTTTTAGCCACCTACGGCTCCTCCCCCTTCCCCAAGCCGGGTAGCGACTCGCCCCGTACAGGAGGCCAACATCTCTATCGGCTTTCCCTTTCCTTCTCTGGACCTCACAACAAGAAGAAGAAGAAGAAGAAGCGCTCACGCGTGCATCGCCCGCTTTCTGTCGGCCAAAAGCGGGCGATGCACTTTGCTTTGCCGCAAGGCAACGTCTTCTTCGTACAAAGGGGTACGCCGCTACACAGGATATAAGAGCGTGTGGGACGTCAGAGCGCCGCGCTTTCATTGGAGGTATTACTCGATAGACGCGAGCACTAGCTGCCTTCGTCTCTATTTAGTGTCTCCTCCAATGAGAGCGAACAAGAGTGTCGACAGTTCATCCCGCAGGGTCTGGCGATCGGATGCCAGACCGTGCGCTAGAAGCATACGACGATCTTGACCGTTGCAATTGGAGAGGGATAATGGACAGAGACCAAGACAGCTCTTTGGGTCTACCCCCGAATCCTTCCAAACGGGGCTCGGCGCTCCGACGTCACCGCAGACTCTCGTATTCTCCTCTCCTTCAGTTTCACTCCGCATGAAATGCTCTAGGAACAGAAGAGTCGTTTGGCGCCAGACTCACGAACGCAGGTCTTGAGCTTGACGTGTCCGTCGAAGCGCGTCTTGGCGATGGCCTCCTTGCAGCGGATGCAGAGGCGGTACTGGGTACGGGACACGCATTCCTCCAGGAGGTGTCGTGTCAGGCCGGAGATCTCCACCACCTTCGAAGACCAGTAGGTGCGATCGGAAAACTCGAAAATATCTCAGCTACACTTCGTTTCAGCTTAAGGCGCAGCCAATGCTACGAACTAATCGAACCGGTCAAGCGTCGTGAAAAACCTCACCGGGTCTTTTCTGTTTATGACTGGTTCAGCGATTATAAAACATGTCGAACACTTTGATGGTGGGATTTTGACGCTGTCTGACTGGTATACCATCAGCTCGTAGCGTCGGCTGCGTCTGGACTTGAGGTGAGATGAAGTGAGGAATCGACGTGAATGAGATCAGGTGACTGCATTTTGTGATTTGCGGATATGTTACATCGATTATAGCCCATAAGTATGGCAGATGAAAGCGTAGTTCAGTACTCAAACGAGACAATTGAGTCTCATTGAATGGCCAGCAAAAACAATGTGGTCACTGAGTGGGGTTTTCCCAATTCTACCGCGGAGTACATTAAATCCGTCATAATTATTTGATTCCTCAGGTGTTGCCGAACATCAACGAAACAAAAATAATTTCTTTTTTTCTTTTGCATTACTTTTGAGCTATAAGAACGTGTTTATGGTGTAAAGGCTGTTTCAGATACTCATCACTATGGTTCTACCATTTCAGCACCCTTATTTAGAGTATCACACCCTCTCTGATTCGATAATAGGACGCTGTTGTATGAAACACCCTTCATTTTTAAGAGTGTGAAAAGGGTGTGTAAATTTGCTTACAGTAAATTAAAGCGAAGACCTTTCTTGAAGGGTCTTTTTAAAAGCAGCTTGAACGTAAGTTGCCTTTATGAAAAGGTCGATAATCATTACCCGTACCAATGCTTTTTACTAAGATATACATTCCTTAAAATCAATAAGGTATTATGCCCTGCGTGCAATATTGACGAAATCAACGCAACATACTCTTAACCTCCGTAATCTCGGAGGCGATCCCCTTCGAATGAGTCTCATTAGAAATTGTCGAGTATACAACGGGGCCGTGCAGCCAAAGAGGGTCGTGATTTCTCTCTCGTGCAAGATTTACTGCGCTTATATTTGCTTTTTCTGGTGATACGAGAACTGCATGTTGTGCGGGTATACTGTAAACATGTTGCTCGTTAAAAAAAAAAGAATACTTTCAGCTTTTTTACTTCGGTGAAGAAGGAAGAGCAGCGGAGCTGTACTATGTGCCGCCGTCGCTCATAGATGGCGGTAGTTGTCCAGAGCGTTGTGTCGAGATGTATTTGTCCACGGACACGAAACTGGGGAAACTAGTGCCTTAACAGCTCCGCTGCAAAAAAACAACAATAAAAAAACTGCCCCTAGGTGGCTACTAAGACTGCAACCATCCTATTTTTAGGGTGTTCACAAGCATTGGAAAAATGTTCGTGCAACAACCTGTGTTTTCCCCGGGACAATTTAATTTACATCTTTTAATGGCGTAAACATTTTTTTTGTGTGTGTGTGTGCGAAGGCTAGTAAAACTCCGTGACAACCTATGCCACCATATATATTTACGATTTGCAGGGGTCATGAATAATCGCGGACAAATTCACAGTGAAGCGGAGTGTTCCGCTTTAAACTTTGAAACATAAAAAAAAAAAAAAGAAGTGATGAAGCAGCGCGATCAGTAGCTGGAGACAGGACAACCGAAACCGATTTTTGTCCTCTGGCAGTAAAAATGAGCTCATAACAACTCTGACAGCTTACGAAACGCGCAGGGCGTGGCTTATGTTCACAAATCGCTTCGTGATTGGTCATTCGGCGTTGTTACCAGAAAATTTCAGACTCTCATTGGCAGCGGAGTGATAATGAGATGCGCGGGACACTCCCTGCTTTCATTAAGCTGTCAATGACAATGCGGAGGGCAAGTCGTCTGCTTCTTGCGCAGGGGTTGCGGTGACGTCAGAACGACGCCGAGCTCTGATTGGCTAATGCCAGATGCCTTCAGGTCTAACCAATATTTTTTTCAGTCAGCCAATAAAAACTCGCCGTGCAAGAAGCAGACGACTTGCTTTCCACATAGCTTTCTCGTTCAACCCCAAAAGCGTAAGCGAAAAGCGTTTTATTGTGGTTGGCAATGATTATTTTTATGCGTGGATCTGCGGGAAGGCAGACGCCGGAACCTTTAATGTCACTAAACAGTCAAGTCTACAACTTGACTGCTTAAGACCCTATCACATTGAGGAAACATGACGGTGACATCAACAACACAACATGTTGATCAACGGTTGGGAAACATGTTGGTCGTTGGCTCTTTTGCGCCCAACAGACCTGTCACATTGCGGGAACGTCAGCACAACATGAACCACAGCGACGTGGGAAACATGTGGGTCACTTTGGCTATTGCGCCCAATCGACCTTTCATATTGCGGGAACGTCGGCACAACATGAACGACAGCGACATTGTTGCCTCGCGGTGTGATAGCTTTCGGCAAACAAAGAACAACAGCAACTTGTGTTGCACAACGCGTGTTGCCCGGCTCGGTAGATGGACGAATTTTGTGCTGCCAACAACACGACGACACAGGCTGCTTCGAGCGTGCAGCGCACCATCTGTAACGTGTATTTTTTTTAAAATAAAATTACTCACAAAGGCCTGGAAATTGTTATCTAACAAATTTAAGCCCGGCGTGCAGATGAGAACGCCACAGCTGCTGCCATAAGCATTTAAAGAGTCAGTTAAGATTTGGATTGCCGGAAGTGATCAACCCACATGTCCTAAAATTACGAAAATAACATGCCTACTTATTCGTTGAAAATATGTTAAAAATCACTCACAAAATCGAGCGCTACAAAAAATCGGAGCTTGAAAACGACCGCTGCCGGAAGTGTACGTTGATATTTGGAGCTTTAAAGCGGCAGCTGGAGACACGTAAAAATTTGTTTTAAAATCCCGAAGGGGGTTGATGGAATGAAACGATCACAAGGCTCACAAAAATGGCAAATAGACAACATCGAAAAATATTTATTATACAGATCTTTGTGGAGGCATAACCGTCATTCTATCTTAAATTATTGAAACTGAGTGACAGTTTACGCATAACGCTTTGAGGTACAGTGGCGGATTGCGTATGTTACACTTGAAATGGGAATACATAAAGCGGCTTCCTGGCCTGGCGTAAATCATAAAATTAGCAGTGATCATGTCTTCCTCAGTCACGGCTGTCTGATTCGTCAGCGAGTGAAGATCATTTCGATTAAATAAGGACCCGGGAATAACGTTCGTGACACTTTTTACTATCACTGTCACTGGTGAGTGTCATCTCCAAGCACATTTTAGTAATATTTGGACATTTCCAGCGACGCCACACCGCACACAAAAAGAAGGTAAACAAACAAGAAGCGGAATGTTGGCCGCGCCGTCATCTCGGTGCGACAGGGTGTTCTCTGAGTGTCGGAGAACAAATCGGCCAGCACGGTTTCAGGGCGACAAAAACATGTTTCGCAACAGTTGAATTTGTCTCAATGTGGCAGGGTCGCCGGAAACATATTTCCCTCCTGTTGGCGGTCAAATTCGTCCAACTGTTTCCTCAATGCGACAGCGCCTTTAGTGGCACGTACACCTATATTTACAAGACGATTTACCTGTTTGCAGTTGTAGCAGAGCATGAGCATGGGGCACTCGGTCCAGTAGTGGTAGTTGAGCGTCTCGGCGTTGAACTTGTCGTTGGTCTCCTCGCAGAACATGCACATCCTGCACGAGGACAAGTACAGCACGCTGCACGTCACCCGTGTGCCAGAGTTCTCCCTCTCCCCGAGAAACTCTAAAACCGCTGGATAAAGGCCTTAACGATGCTCAAACAGTTCAATAGAATTTCAAACTCACATAAGTGTTAATGCTCCTAGTCACTCTAAGCCGAACTGAGTTTAGAGATGAGCATGCCTCTGTATATTAGTGTGCTTAGAAACACGCTCGGCTTGCTCCCCGACAGAAACTAATATCACTGTATTCATATCACATGCCTTCTTACAAGCTACGTGCACGCAGTGCCATCAAAGACAAGTTAATTCCACCTCAGCTCATGCAGTGATAGTTCGGGTCATATCGTTGATATTTCTACAAAAATGTGAATGTCAGCTATGATCTGAGCTGCGTCATCTTTAGAGAAGAGCGAGGTAGGCGATAACAAAGGAGAGAGGGGGGGGGGGGGGGGGGAGCTCGATATATTTGAATAAACCGACGAAGGCTTGCCTGTAATTTTTAGCGTCTGGCAACACATCGTGTCAGAAGTCTGCTAAGGTGTTGCTGCATGGGGAGGAGCTACGCAAGCGATAGCTACATTGACATTCTTGTGTTAGCCCCCCGCGCCATACACCTTCCCTATCCCGAAAGAATTGCCATCATGAAAACGTCGCTTCGGACTGATTTGAGTCGTGCGTAGTATCGCTGCAAAACCAAAAGCAGAGCAAGAAAATACTTTAATTTAGTTCATGGATGACGAGGCAGAGGACATTCTGCTATCCCTACATGCAGGCGAAACCCAAATGACTCAGTGATACGAGGTCATCCGAACATTTTAAGAAGCGACGTTGTGCGACAAAGCCCCTATCCGGACACGAAGTCGACTAATGTTTAGGGAAGTCTTGGCGTTGTTTCTTTTCTCGGTAATGTGGGACTAATATTTTGACGTCATAACTTAGTATAGGCAGACTTGTGCCCGATGCTTGAAAAATTTAATAGATTACAATTTCAAATTACCGAGTCTTAAGCCTAATGAATTGCCGTTACAAATTACTTTCACTGAAAAATAACGGATTACTTTACCCTTTACGTTACACGTTACTTTCACGTTACTCTCCCCGTACACTTATCAAGAAAGCAATACAAACAATTTTGACGTTTTCAAAAATGTCCCGTTACACTGCTTTCCTTCTGTCATACGCCCTCATTACAGTAGTCCTTGTAAAAATAAAATATTGCATCTAAGAGAAAGAATGCAGGTGCCCTCCGTTCACCTGTAAGCCGACGAGGCAGCGAAAGCTGCAACCAGACCCGCCATACCGCTAGCTTACGGCAACCGGAAATGATACGTGAAATTTCGCAGACAAAGCTAGCGGTGCGTATGTTCAGCAGCAGCAGCGTCTACCCCTGCGAGGAGATTCCGAGGCAAGAAATCGATCTGCCAAAGCCCTTTTTTGCAACGGGCCTTTCAAGTCTTAGCGCAAGGTCTCAAAGCTGCGGTGCTGGTAGCTTACGGCCTGTAGCTTTGACGCACTGTCAGCTTACCCATGAACAATGTATTAGAGGTATTCACTACTCGCCATATTTGAGGGCGCTGTGTAGAGCGCATACTCAAAACCATTTCACATTAATAGGCTGCTAAGACCGGCAATCTTGATGGTGTGAAGCCGGCCATCAGCACGCGCTCAGCAGTCGCGCACACAGTTATGGCCGCCAGTGAATACTGTCTATATACTCCGTTTACCCTTAAGCTGAGACTAGAAGCTCCGACTTGAGCGCGAGCTTTTTGCCCTTGCTAACACAAGTGTGAACGCGCAGGCACGCGCAACCAAAGCATTGCGGAAGCCAGCGAGCTCGCGCTGAAGGCGGAGCTTCCAGTCTCAGCTTAAAGGTGAACAGATTATAGTGGCATGCAGTATTAAAAAATGTATCGTGTGAAAAATGCACGGGCTGCATGTGTTGTCTTTTTTATCCTTGTTTTTCGCATATTTGTATATACCTTGCACGTTTTCCTAATGGCTCTAGTGACCGGTCATACAAAAAAGCGTGTTTTCTTTTTGGTTATTCTCCTCTTCAGGATGTTCTTTTTTATTTTGTTGAACTTGCTATCTTTATGCTGCTGAATTGCCTGCTTATATCGCTCCTGTTTCTGTATTATGTCCATATTTTAAAAATTAACCAGTAATTAAAGTAATTCGTTACTAATATTTTGTAACGAAAATACATTACAAATTACCGCCGCAAGAAAGTAACGTGGCAGTTACAAAATTACTAAAATATGTAACAGATTACAAGTAATTTGTTGTTTGTAACAGATTCCTTATCAAGTCTGAGTATAGGCTATTGAGAACAGTCTAAAAAATCAAAAGTAAAAATAAAATATATTGTAATATTTACGTGCAATTATGACACAATTTGGAAAATCAGCTAAATTGTTTAATTAAAACAAATGGTAGAAAGTTAACTTTTATAGCGTTATGAGCTCCATTTAACAATGCACGTTTTAATATAGTTTATAAAGTATTCATTAAAGTCATTCTATATAAAATTATTCCTGAAATATTCTGCACAACGTATTTTGTTAGTATGTTTGGTAACTTTTTTCTAAATTTCAAATATAACATAATGGTATTTTGTACACTTATCGTAAAATGGTGTTATATTCAACTAAACAATCTCTCAGCTGTTTTAACAAAACGGTAAATTTACACCAGCTCGCCTGCGCCGTCACTGTGTTTCAGGCAACGGCGAATCGTTCGAAACCTCGTCAATCTCATGCTGGAAACCTCGGAACATTCGCCGGTTATTGCTGGACTCAGACAAGCCTGATGAATTGCAGTCCATTGTTTACCATGGACGATCGCGACGGCCTTGTGACTGCTTCTGACAGTGGGCGAAACAGTCCCGAGCTGCCCATGTGCTGGTATTCATACGACATCTGACGTCACAAAAGAAGACAGACTCTCAAAGTTGCAAGTGTGACTACTATATACATATATATATTAGTCACACTTGAAACATTGACCTAGGTCATCTTTGACCTAAGCGAAACACGACGTGTTTCAGCGAAGCGATATGGGCCCACTCTTGCCACTGGGTACAGTTATGGTGTAGCTAGCGGATAGTGGTTTTAGGCTTACTTTCCAGCATTCGCTTCACACTCTCTCTATCTACTTATATATATATATATATATATATATATATATATATATATATATATATATATATATATATATATATATATATATATATATATATAGGAGCTATCCAGCGGCTTTAGACGAAGCAGTGGCCCGCCCATCTCACTTGTCCAGATTAAATGCGGCTCCCCCGCCGGCGCCTTCCTGCTGGGAGGACAGCTTGGGAAGCTCTTGCAGGGATCGACTCGAAGGAGCGGCCAGCTCCTTGACGAAGTCCCGACGACCGGAACCGGAACTGGGGCTGTCGGCAGACGCAGAACGTTGCCGCCGAGGTTGGCGCTGGGCACTGGTGGGCTGCGGCAGCAAAGCGGACGTCATTCTGACGTCAAGAAATGAGCCCATAAATTCACGACTGGTCGTGGTGGATTGTAACGTAATATGCCAGAAACAGCAAACTATATTCGTCTCTCAATAGAATAACCTTTGCCGGTGACAATCAGTTCGTCGAACGACGTTGCATCGAGAAAATGTATCGTCGAGATATGCGACGTTTTATGAACAGTTCATTTCATCAAAGTGCTTTCTGCGCTTGTTTTAGCGACACACCTTCCGACATTTTGTCTAACACAACCGTGCTGTTTTTGAAGCAAATCCTAGGCGTCTCGCCTGGTTTAGGGGGGAAAGGGGAGAGGACCCCTCCTACTCCTCTCCCCGTAAACAAGGGGAGACGCAATGGCTTAGGTAAACACGCCTCAGTGATTCACTTGCTAGCCCTTAAAAGCTTCCAGATCTTGTTACGCACTTAGTAAAATAAAAAAAAAGGTTCGAGGTACATTTAAGCACTTCTTATGAGTTGTAAATGCGAAAGCATGAACGTGTTTTCTCCGCGCGCTCTCGTGAAGCGGCCGAGTCGCGCTGACATCGGCCGTGCTACCGCTCTGGAGTCTGCCCAAGCGGGCTCAGGGAGCCCCGCCGCCGGCTCATTCCTTTTACCGGCGCGCTGATGGCGCGGGCCCGCAGCGCCATGGGGTGGCGCTCCTTGAAACTGACGCGCGGCGGCCAATGGAAACCTCGTTCCTTGAAACTATATGACGCGCGCCAGCCGATGGAAGCTTATCGATCAAATTTCGGCTTTACTTTTGGCGAGGTGAATTTAGCTGCCGTTTTGCGTGGCTTTTGGCGCGGCTTCAAAGCTGGGAGGCTTCAGATCGCGGCTTCACATTGCTCCACCGGGAGAGGAAGATTTAGCTGCCGTTTGGCGCGGCTTTCTGCGTGGCTTCAAAACTGATGACGTCGGCTCGCTCCATGCGACAATTAATGCTTTCGCATTAATCCATTGTCGACGAAACGTTGCAGGGGGTATCTGTACAAGAAACTAATTTCCACAAAACGACACAGTGTTCACGAAACGTATGTCCATGAAAGTTGTCCCCGAAGCGTGTTTTGACGAAACGATATGTATGGTCCTGCTCTCGCCACTGAGTACAGTTATGGTGTAGCTAGCAAATGGTGGCTTTAGGCTTACTTTCCTGCATCCGCTTCACACTCCCTCTATCTACTTAATGATGACCTAACCTTTATTGAAACGAAATTATCTAGTTCCTAAATAGGCTGACGAAGTCTTCAGCCTCCAATAAGTATATGATCAATTTTGCAGACCAATGGAAGACAACACCCAAGAATAATATCGTTAGTCTACGAGACGGGACCAAGTTTTCAGTCTGTCTAGTCAACAACGAACGGCAGTATTGCTGGGCCATGTATATACTTAATGATATATGGCTACTCGTTTTGAAGTTTCCGCAAAAACTAGATTGCATGATATGATACTTTCTTACTCAGCCTTAATATGCTCACCGACAGTTTCTTTTAAGCTTCAACCTCTGAAATCGCTTTCCCCGATGGTCAGGCCTGGTATTGGTAATTCTGGACGCGACTTTACACTGCCAATGTTATTACGCAGTTTCAGTATTTTGTTTTTGGCGTTCCTCTAATGATAGCCGACACAGCGCCGGTGTCTTTGCGCGTACATCGTCTCGTCATCAGGTATGATTGTTGGAGCGCAAAACCGATCTAACCATAACCCGTTTCACTTTAAGTCCCACCGGAGCCGACCTAACGATAAAACGGAGTTATCACAGGGCGCTAGAAGCGCATCGTCACGGCAATTGTTGTCCTTGTAGGCTTTCTATCACCAAGCTCAACCTTCACGTAAAAACATGAATGCGCAGGATTGCATCGCATTTACTGTGCGTCATTTGTTCAGTTGGTAATTGCAAGTGCACAAAGGGGATGAGTGCAATGACGATGAACTGTTCGCGTGATTGACTTTATTGAATTGTCTAGTATCGACAAGGATCAAACTTGTGAAACGAAACCTAAAACGCTTTATTAGAGAGTTTTAGGGAACCGTTTCTGCACATCCGATATGGTACAATGGGCCCTCCGGTACGAACTGCGGTTCTCGGAGTCTTCAGTGGTTGCGCATGCGCAGTTCGTACCGGAGGGCCCATCGTACCGCATCGGATGTGCAAAAACGGTTCCCTAAAACTCCCTATTATCGCTTGTTATCTCACGCCACATAAACATAAAAAAAGACAAATATAAGACATTATGAATTGAATGCTGTAACAAGATCTGCAATCCTAGGCCCCTGAAGTGGGGCCCATGGAGTGGTGAGGTGAGCCGACCTCTTTGTCGATCTTCTCGAACTCCTCGAAGACCTTCTTGTAGGTAAAGTTTCTGGTGGTCTTGGTGGATTCCGGCACGAGGCACTGGCGCACGGGAGTGCCCAGCAGGCGATACAGCGACAGCAGGATCTGCTCGGCCACCTCGCGCACCTGGAGCGACGGGTGCGACAGGGCCCGGATGGCGAACGCCATCATGTGCTCGAACAACGGGTCGCTGCACGAGAGGGGACACTAAATACTCTGGGTCGCAAGCCACGGCAACGATGAAGTAAAATTAAGTATATTTTGACTCGCTGGTGCATTTTATTTGTGGACATAGCGTTTTCGGGTAACAGGTACACCAAAAAACCTATTCTAACTTGCTTTATCGTGCATTTTCGAGAATTTCCCTTCTGAATTCACCGGTGAAATTTACGGACGGATGAACAGCCGGAATACTTTCTGCAATTAGGGGATTCAATTAAAGAGCGTTTGAGGCTTTAATAAAAAATGGACGTTTTAAAAGGGGGCAGTGACCACATCAGGCGTACAGTTCAGCGTCCAATTGCATATTGTATTTTGGGTCACTAAACTCTCTTCTAAGATCACGCGAATTCACCTCCTGCGTGCTTCGAGAGGAAGCGGCACCAAAGCATTCTTATTGATGAATAAAACTTTTTTCTTTGTTGCCAACTTTGGCAATTATTTAGGTCGTCACCGTCGCCTGCCATTCCTCGAAGCGGTCCTCCTCACCTCTGACTGAGCGGCGGGAAGCGGGCCACCAGTTGTTCGACGAGTTCGCATCGGCCCTGGGCAAGCCTCGGGTTTGTCGACTCGGAAAAGGGCCGCAGAATGATGTGCAACATCGCCTGCACCGCCTGAAAGAAGTGTGATACCGGACCACACGATGAAGCCGTGGCGGCCGCCATGGTTGTAGCATATATAGTTCACTACGTTGACTGGAGCTCGTCTTTGACTGCTGTAAACGTTACTATATTAACTCAGTTGTGAAATTCCCGTGGAGGGGAGGGAAGAGGTACTCTCCTTCCCCCTCCGCGGGAGTTCCACAAGTGAGTTAATATAGTAATGGTTTGAAGAACAGACGCTGTTCTTCAAAACATGTATATTTCATAAAGTACACTGTAGTTACCATTTAGCCGTCCCCAAAACGCTGGTTCGTCGGACGGCGGGAGGCGGGCCATTGGGGGGAGGGGTTACTGTTCATGAAAGCAGCTCTCCTATTGCAGTTCCAGAGGTTATCTAGTAATGTAGACTTGTGTGTTCAGCGTTTTCTACTGATGCATCAAAAATGGCCCTAAAGTGACCACAAGTCCCGTCACAAAAGCCAGTGTCATGCTGTCGGATGTTGCGCCCCTGGCCGTTGTTCGTATAGAAGGGCCGGCAAACAAGATGAGAGAATGCAAGTGTCGATGTTGTCACGGTGTCCCAACTCGTTGTTACAGAAGTTTTCACGAACTGTCGAGCTGAGAGCGAGCGACAGTGGAACATGCGTCAACCGTGTACCTGCCTCCGGTGCTGTGCAACTGTCGGAATCGCACCAGGCCACAGCAGGACACTTGCATGACGTCAAAGAGAGGAAATCGAGAAACCACACTTCCGGTCGCGGTAAACACACCAGTCGAAAACGCGCTTTTGGCACCACAACATGGCTAATCCTATACTAACTGGATGGGAGTGTCTTGGTTAAGTCTGAATCGCTGATGATTCGTCGGTACCATCACGTATCTCGTCTTTCGGGACCATCGTTGAATTTCAAGGTACGTCGAAGATATTCATATGTCAACATGACGTAAATTTAGGACTCTTCTTGCCGTTTTTATACACCCCTTCATCGCTTTATATACATATTCGCAACCTTCGGCAACGGGGGTAAACCTCGCTGAGGTACTCCACGATAATTATAGCTTGCACCTCTCCGAAATAAGCTATACAAATTTAATACATCTAATATCACTCAGAACTTATACTTGCGTGTGCTTCAAAACTTTTACCACGTACTGCATCTAAAGATTCAATCATCCTGAAAGCTACCGTTTTTGTAGATGCAGCGCATCCCCTCTCAGCTGTAAAAGGTTCGAATGTTCGTATACTTTTTCAAGTTCGAAACGCACGACTTGCCTTGACATCTTCGTAGTCTCCCATCTCCAGAAGAAAATCGGTTGCCACAGTTTTCACCCGAGGAGCCTGTAAAGCGCACGCCACACATTTTTTAAATTTCTTTTTTTATAGCTCACTTTGCTTGATTAATGCTTCACACGCACACACACACACAAAGATATTTGTAAGTGAAATAAGCAAGAGCGTCGATTATGCGTTCGCGCGAGCAGTCGCGCAGTATGCGCCGTTCAACAAAGCAGGCTCACTCTTAATTGTGGATGAAAGAACTTATTTAGTAAATACAATATAAATAAAAGAGCAGTGTAAGTAATATTTTCCTCTTGGTGATATCGCTCCAGATATGTAGACATATCTGGAGCGATGTTGTTTGTGAACGGATTTTTTGGTGCTCACTAATATCAATATTCCTCCTCTTTTTGCCGGATCCGAAGCCGTCAGTTTTATTATTTAGACTTACTGGGGTCAGGTATCTTCGGCCCTTTGACTAGACCCGAACCACGATGATATTTAAACTGACCTGTCGCTGCCTCCAACTTATAAGACCAGTGAGAAAGGCTGGGTGGAGATTCTTATCGAGGCCGACCTAAACTCAGATAGGTTTTAAGAAACCAGTCAACTGCCAAAGTGTTCTTGTTGCTGTATTATCTAAACCGGTGCCCGGTAGACAATGTTAAACGGCCGAGGCCGGCTACCCGAAAAGACAGCCCCCCCCCCCCCCCCCCCTCTCCTACACAGCTCACGCACACACTCCAGGAGTAATGGTGCAAGAATCGTGCTTGGTTGCAAACCTGGTGTAATTGGACGTATTGACTTTAAAACGGCCCACCAACGGATCAGTTCCCTATGCACGTGCGCTGTATTATCCATGAGCGATCGTTGTGCACCAAGGTGATGCATTCGGAATCAATAAGTAGGGTCGTTGCGTACCAAGCATAAATTTCGTTTTCAATTGCGGTTCGTACGATTGTCAATTCTGACATACTTCGCCGCATTCAACGGCTTGCTATGGGAATTCTGACAAATAGTCTGGTCAGATTTTTAGCAAAAGTCGTGTAGCAAGACTACAAAAGTATAAAGACTAAAGAGATATTGGACCGGTGGTTTTCAGTTTGACTGAGTCCTTGAACTTTGGAATCAGAATTGTGTGGATCTGTGGGAGTGGTGGAGGCAAAGCCTGGGCTTCAAGTACCTCGCAAAATACAGCTTGCAGCACGGTGCATAACAATTCGTATAGGCCATTTTCGTAAACCTAATCGTCTCTCCTCCTATACCCCATACCCGCTCCCCCCTTTCCCAATTTTTTTTTTTTTTCTTGTATGGTTCGCTTAGTTTTTGCTTTGCGGCAATGGCTTGAAGCAGCAAAAGGTTGCCGATCTTTGATCTAAAACATTGAATGCGAGTGAGTTTTCGCATGGGAGATCACGGTTAACTTTTAATACAGAATCCATGATATGGCTGGAACACGGCCAAGCTATCATGGTTAAAACGAATGCACCAAATAGTAAACAACTTGACAAAGATAGAAAAAAAAACTAAATACCTCGAACCCTGGGACAGGAAAGAAAAAACAAAAGGACAAAACAACAAAAGCTATCGGCGTTGTTTTGTTCGGTTTTCTTTTTTTCTTTTTTTATCTTCCGGGTTGCAAGGTTTATGAGTAAAGGCCCGTTCACACTCTTGCGACCGAGCGCGACCGAGTACGACTGAGAGAGACGAGTTCTCTTAAAACTTGTTAAATGTTTTTAAAATGAGGGAACAAACTGGCATTGTGGCGCCATCTATGCGGTGACCCTGGAACTGCATTTCACAAGAGCGAAGGTTTTGCAGGATTTCCGAGGTCAAATGTGCGTAATACCCATAGAAAGGCTCGTTTATAACATTGACAAAAGTTTTTCGAGCCAAGAAAGAAAGGATAATGCGCGAGAAATAAAAAAAAATATGCCGGACCGCCGAGTTTACACTGCTTCCCAATATATGGCGCCAGTGTGTTTTCTGGTTTAAGAAGTTGTAAGGAACCTAGGTTTAAGAGGTCGCAAGAGTGTGAACGGGCCTTAAGGCGAACAATCCGTTCAAACCATTAGAAATTATTCAAATATTTCCGATCTACAAATATTTGATTCAGATTTTTGTTTTGTTTTCCATTTGCCACGTTATTTTTATCTCTTGTTTTTGTTGTGCATTTGTGCATCTTACCACCCATCAAAACTCCTGAATAGAGGATTAGTAGTATACATAAATTAATACGAAAAATGCCTGTTACCAGTTTTGCACTTCTGAAACGAAAGAAGAAAGCGCGAGTGCCAGACGAACACTGATGTAATGCAAAAAAAAAAGAAAGACTTTCGGAATCAACAACAAAAAAGACGCGGCTGTCATCTCCTCACTTATTGGACATGAGCGCCAGCCGAACGAAGAACGTCTTGCTCGAGTATATCCGAGTTACTCCCGCGGGTCGCATCACGTGATGAAACAGAGCGACGCCAGCGACGCCCTCTACACCTAACACGCGCTAAACGAGCAAGCTCTGGCCTTTCAGCGCTACTGCCGAGGGCGAACTATTTTTTTTTTTCTTTTATGTTCGTGCGATTTGGGGATAGGGTTGTTCACAGGGACGCCGCAGCGCGCCGCGGCTCTTTCATCTTCGTTCCGGTATGTCTCCTTCCCAGAGCTATACACCGAGAATCTGGGGAAGAGGAGGAGACGAGAGCGCTCGGAGATGCCAGAACGCCGAACTCTGATTGGAGCGATCAGTGGGTAGACACAAAGCTAGCACCCTTTGTCTCTACTGCACTCGTGGAGGGCGTTAGAACGCGGCATGCCGGTACTTTGCAGAGCGAAATCACATTAATAATTCGGAAGAGCCAAAAATGACAAATGGCTTTAAATGTCAATGGAAATCGCTCTCATTTCCAAGCCGTACACTTGTTGCGTCATTTTTGTATCACCAATTGCTATCACATCAGTGACGCCGTGTTCACCAAACAAAAACTTGGGAATCCATCTTACCTCTGATCTACCCTGGACTACTCACGTAACCTCTGTCGTTGCTAATGCTAATCGTACTCTGGGATTTCTAGGTCGCAACCTCAGACTAGTGACATCCTCAGTAAAACAACTAGCCTACACTACATTGGTAAGATTTAAGCTAGGGTACCCTTCCCCAATGTGATCTCCATGGCAATCCTAGAAGCCGTTCAAAATAGATAACGTTCTGTAATGTTTTCTGACTATACTCTCCACAAAATAGCATTTGAGGATTACCCCGGTCAGCTGACCTGAAAACACTTTCTGTTGGAGTGTGTACCCCCTCTCTCTCTTCCTCATCGAATGTATTATTACACGCATCTCAAAGAATCCTTGCCATCACCTGTTCAGCGAATTGCCCCTCGTCTCGAGCATTCTTGCAAATTACGCAAAATTTGATCACGGTCACGGTCTCTTAATTATCAAATGTCTACATTGCCATTGGCCATAAAAGACTGGACCGCACCACCTCACCACATTGTTTCCATAAATAACATTAACATAATTGTGGCTGCCCACTACCCTCTTCATCTCTAACCCGCCTATATAAATTTTAGTGTTTTAGCGTGTGTTCAAGTTGTGTTGATTGTCATTTTGTACATAAGCATGCTCACCCCTTGTGCATACCCTTTTAGGTTTTCAAGGAAACTAAATTGTTATGATGATGATCACGATGATGACAATTACGATGATGATTTTAATGATCATGATGATGAATACTCCGCGGCCGGCCCCCGGTCTGCAGTCAATTGAGATTGAGGGTTATATGTTGCGAAGGCTTCAAAATTTCGAGGCATCTCATCCTTCGTGTGAGCAGTGAACCCAAATATGTTATTTCGCTATGATATCTACACTCATCAAACTAAACTGCTTGCTCACATTGACTATCTTCAGCAAGGTATTGCAGTTTGATAGTCGCCGCGAACGTAACCCCGTTCAATGCGACGGAGTTTTAGGGAACCGTGTTTGCCCATCCGATAGGGTACGATGGGCCCTCCGGTTCGAACTGCGCATGCGCTAACGCAGGAGACTCGCACATGCGCAGTTCGTAGCAGAGGACCCATCGTACCGCATCGGATGTGCAAAAACGATTCCCTAAAACTCTCTATTTTGTGTGTTTTTAGAACACGCGATGTACGAACGAGTTCAACGACTCACTGTATCGCCGGTCCGGTAGAGTATCCTGGGAACTGTTTTATTCACGGCCACGGTCACGTCACCTTTCGATATTCTGGAACGAGAAGCGCATCGTCAAAACCTGTTCACAATATGAAATAAAAATATTAAATAAAAAATCTGCTGAACTGTTTTGATGCACTACGATCTCTGAGTCGAGTGCACAAATGCCTTAGTTATGAGAGACGCATCAACAATCATGCGAAAGCGCGTTACTGACGTGACTTTACAAACTCTCTACGTAAGCGGTCATTCCACTTCTACAATTTAGAGAGCTAATCCTAATTAGTACAAATTATAGGTACACGAATTCAACTTCCTTTATTAAATTTAGCGGAGCGTTTACATGATGTTTACATTACACACTTCAATTACGCACTTCCGAACCATTACGCGGTTCCATTAAACTTTTGGGGGAACTCTTTTGTACAACCTGATGACTACGCACTTCCACCTTAAAAATAGGCCGATACATCCCTCGGCTCCAAGCAGGCGTTCTTCTACTAACCTGGGATTCATTTGCGAGAGCGGCGGTAGAGTAATTTGTATACATGCACACTCTAAAAACAATCCCGTGCCCCCGTTTTCCCGCACATCACTCGAAGAGCCAATCACCGCAACTTACGGAGGCAGCTCAGCGAATGACGACGACGAAACATATGTTTAGACCAAAAGAACGCAGTCCGAGTTGTGACATTAGGCAATGCAAGCGTGACGTTTTGCATCGCTTAATGTCATAATTCAGACTGCGTTTTTTGGTCTAAACATATGTTTCGGCATCGTCATTCGCTGAGCTGCCTCCGTAAGTTGCGGTGATTGGCTCTCCGAGTGATGTGCGGGAAACTAGACCCACGGGCTTTTTTTTTTTTTTTTTTTGAGAGTACAGCAATGTTGTCGTGGACTATTTTTCATAAAGGTTCGAACATTTTCGAAATTGTACAAAAAGGCTTACAACCTATACATAGTCATCGAGTCACATTTGGGAGTCTTACGTGCCAAACCAACGCAAAGATCTGGCATGCCCCAGCGGAGGACTGGGGATTCATTTGGAACACCTGGATGTTTCGACGTGAAACCCCAATCGCGGTTACGCGAAGCCTTCTCCGGAATAAGCCTCCGTCAAATGTCCGGCCTCCCGGCCGGGATTCGAACCCGCCGCCTATGGAACCATAAGGCTGGCACTTTGCCTCGGGGTCAACGAGGCGGCTATATGGATTGCCATACCACAACGGAAAAGACATTAAAAAACAATCAAAAGCAAACAGAAAAAAAAAAAACTTAAGCGTATACACTTTGCTTTTGACAATAAAACGAAACAAAGAGGCGAACCCAACAAGACGGAAAACAACAAGCCGTCTGTTGTTTGCAAGTCGGCTGCATCTCCACAATATATGAGATTCTACATGGAATAAACTTAAGCGATGAAACGTTTTGGTATTTCGAGGCTCACTATATAGTCACTGACAGAATGAGAACGACAGAGAGTGCTTTTTAAACGTAAGGCCTCCGCACGCGCTCTATGCCTTTTGCTGTGCTTTCGCTGCGCGCGCTCGCTCAAGGTACACGAGATGCCGAAGTGTTGCTGAATGTATAGTAAGTTACTGCTCAAGAAGGTATACCGAGGAAAAGGAAGGCCGGGAGGAAGAAGCAGACGGAACGCTGGAGATAAGAGGGGGAAACCTCCTCCTTTCTTTAGTGTTACGTCTGCTTCCTCCTCCCCGGCCTTACTTTTTCTCGCCCTATCTTCTTGAGCTGCAACGGACTATAGGAAGTTCGTGCTGAATGCGGGACAACGGAAGCTCCCCCTTGATGTTCTCACTTCAGCAGTGTTAATGATGATAAGAGTGAAGAAAATATGCAGTGTTTTTAACAACTGCCAGGTTTCTTCCAACTTACCGCTGGACGATCGTGAACCGCGTGAAGAGTATCTGCATCGTATTCAAGGCTTGTATGAATACCTGCAATAATTATAAAACGCAATGTACCAAGCTCGGTCTACAACAAAAAACTGTTGCGGCGTTTTTGTTTTTTTTTATTATTATTATTATTTAAGCAATCGGATGTGTGTGTGTGTGTGTGTTTTTCAGTGTTGAGTGAAAATTTACATTTTGCAAAACGTATATGCCCATTAGAGAAACAATCAACACAGGCTTCTCTCAGAGATGTCAAGTAGTGTATCTCTTTAATTTTTTTGTTCACGCCACTAAATTGTGCTGAACTAAACAAGAATTTCCTGGGTCGCCCAAAATTTCACTTTTGTTTGCTCGGCGCATAGAACAAAAATTAGCGGAAGCTTCGAAAATTCAGGTGTTTGCTCTCCATTTGACGAAAACCTGTGTGTTTGCCAAGCTAATGTGATTAGCTCATAAAAACAACGGATGTCCATCTAATTCCGCAGAATTATATAAGAAGAAGGCACAACTAGATTGGCAGTGTAAAGGTGTCACTTAACGTGATCTCTACTTGGTTTCAACGTAACTTGGCAAAGAGCGAATGCTGCAGCCCCTTGAAGCCAATCAGAGCAACGAAGGCAAAGCACGTGACAGCCCTAAACAAAGGTAGAAGGGAGAGGGCGCAACCCAAGCAGTGGGAGAAGAAGGGAAGGAGGAAATCCCCTCTTACCACCCTTTGTCTGTCCCAGGCGTCGCTTTTGTCCCCTATAGAAGATTAGCCCGTTACTCGAAATTCCTACTAATTAGAGCGGCTTTCATCCCTCTATAACGAGAACAATCCCTGGATAAGGAGAACAAGGGGGGACAAAGAACAAACACAAATCTCCATCGGAATTAAAACCATTGCAAACAGACGAGAACCAGGAAAAGTAACACGGACGCAGCACTGTGTCCGTGTGACTTCGTCTGGTCCTCGTCTTTTTGCGCTGTTTTTAATTCCGAAGTATGTACCAACTCGCCCAAGCCTCAACTTTAATAAATCTCCAAACACAACTAGGTGACTGGTCCGTGACCGAAAAAATCCGCCTGGTCCTGGTATTGAACCAGGGACCTCTCCGTTTCCAGTTGAGCGCTCTACTGACGCCTAACTCGTGGTTAGCTCGGTTGGTAGAGCGCTCCACTGGAAATGGAGAGGTCCCTGGTTCGATACCTAGACCAGGCGAAATTTTTTCGGTCGCGCACCAGTCACCTAGCTGTGTTTGTCCTTTGTCCTCCCTTGTTCCCCTTCTCGAGCGATTACTCTAGTTAGTCTAGTCCAGCTCGCTTTGCACCTTTGCATTTAATTGCATTATAATCCTATTTCATCTCTGCCACCCGTGGCTTCGACAGCACTGCGCGCTTCTAGTGAGATAGACCAGATGCACGTGCCTCCCTCCGACACTCTGATTGGCTCACTGGACCTGATTGGCCTTCGCCATGTGCCAAGCTTTATTGAGCCGGAGTATGGTGCTTGCACATGCGCTGCTGTCGCACCTACATTCGGTACTGATGCCTGTCAAACCAACTGTACAGTTATAAGATAGCTAGTGTGCGTTGCACCATAGTTCAATACAAGTTAAGAATGCGCCAAATAAACACCACCACATACCCACCAGGACATCGAAGCACTCCAAAGACAAACCAGGAAAAGCAGTGGCAATGACGAGTTAAGTGACGTCAGTGCATCGTGCGCTCGGCAGCGGACTGTTTGCGCATTGCGGAGGTACAGAGTAGGTCGGTAATAAGGGTTATAAGGGAGCTTCAAGCGCATTTTTATCTCGCATATGACTATAGTGATTCATTTTGGCATGCTTCTTTTGACAAGACGAAAAAGTAAATAAAGTAACTCACTTTCAGTGCGGGTACATCATTTTCACATACATATGTCTATACTTTCTGACAGCTTACGAAATGCAGAGAGTGGCAAGTCACAAACACCTTATAATTGGTGTGTAGCCAGTGAGAATGCCGATATACAAATATCTAACCAACGGCGAACATAATGATCCACACCCTTAAGCTGTCAGTCACTTTAAGGTGTCTAGAATTCATAGAATTGATACAGTCTGTCTGCTATCACTAATCTGAGTTTATCAATGTTCGAAGTCTTCCACAGCCAGCGGGACAGCTGCCTTAGCCGGATAAGAATGCCGACGAGCCAATTACGAACCAAGGAGCGTAACCTCCGTGACTATAAACGTGTAAAAAAACAAATCTGGTATAAAAAAGAAAAATACAGAAGCGCTTACCGAGAGCACCTTGTCTCGGACCCCTCTCTGGAGAAGAAAGGTGACGGCCTTGAGCACGTCTTCGGGCGAGTGCCGGCTCCGGCGCGAGTTGTACCGCTCCAGAAACCGCTGCATTTCTTTGAAGGCCTCCTCGCGCTGAATGAAGTTCTTGGAGTACAGTTTTTGCACCTGCAAAAACGGCCAAATTCTTTCCAGTTTGTTTGTACAGAGGACGACGCAATAAAGGCTGGTGCACACACAGACTCGCGTTGGGTGTCAACCGACTGTGTTGTGCACAGTCTTGCGATTTCTTACGACGATAAAAAACACTGGCGTCTAGTATCGAGTAGCCGAACATTGCCTTTTTTTTTTTCTTCCGGGCAATATTCTTTTATCATAAGACTGAAAAACATGTTTGACAGTGGTATAAACGGCTTTCTCCCACATACATAGTATGCACATTTGACCTTGCCAATACCGCCCAAACCTTGACTGTAGTGAAATGCGGTTGCGACAAGCGTGCCCCCAGTGTGTTCTCTTGTCGTAAGATATCACGAGGCTGCGCAGTGCACTCGGTTGTAACCAATTTCAAGTGAGCGCACCAGCCTGTAGCGCGAAATAAACGTGGAAACAAGCACGCAGAGTACAAATAAGAGAAAATCAAGTGACTCTTTACCAGGACTGTCTGAATCTTTCCGGTGGTGGCAACTCCGTCACTTAGCGATTTAGTTTCCCTAACTGAATGAAAGAACATTATTTTCCTAAACATCGTGTTAGCTTACACCTATTCTATATCTGAAGAAAGTCAAATACCAAGAAAAAGGCCAATCCCAAAGTTTCCCACTAATTGTCAAACCAGCTATGCGTATGGTTGGTGACAGGATAAAAGTGAAGTTGATGCTCCACCCACTTCTTTCTATTTTAGTAAAGTGGATGCTGGAAAGGAAGTGACTTTCTCTTCACCGTTGACCTCTCTTCTAAATTGGAAAAAGGTGAGAGGAGCCTTCACTTCAACCTTAACCTGTCACCGATCATAATGTAAATCATTGTTTTCCAAGCTGTGAGTCACACCGCGACAGATATAGCATAAGAATGCAAAGCAGCTAGAAAGCGTGAAAAAAACGAACTTGGTTTTATTAAGCTGCCGTCGATGAAAAGCAACAGGTCGCGGCTCATTAATTAAACCGAAAATTATATCCGCGGTGTCCGAACTCCGTACTCATTGTGAGAAACTGTGCTCTAACAAACAAGTACACTTTAGGAATCATAAACTCTCAATCCTACTTGCACTAACTTCCTTGCGTTGGCGACAATGTCTAGCACAGCTGATTTATTCTGACTATATTAACTGTCAAACAAAATTTCAGCGTCACCTTTATCAAGATTTACATCGTGGCATCATGAAGAAAATTGGGTGTTTCTGATAGATCACAAGGACAATTAAAATTATGGGATGTTTATTTCATAAGCAGTATTACGAATAAAAACATCGTTCACTCGAAGAAATAAAAAAAAAAAACAGGAGCTGTGTTGTGCAAGGAGGATTCCCTTGTTTCAACATTAAATGTAAAAAAAGAAAGGTTAACGTTTTTCGAGACGAAAATACAACGTAAATATCGGGTAATGGTACCATTCGGGACTTTGCCCTCATTAGCTATAGGCATTCTAGAGGCTGCCACTAAGCACTGCCTGCGGCACATAGCAGCCGCTCTCAAACCCACAGCGCTGAGGAAGTTGTCACCGGGCACCCGCAGCGTCTAAGATATTAGTTTTTATTTAACAGTGGTTGTACGGAGTAGACACCGTTCAAATGTTTCAGCTAATTAAGTCAGAGTACATCAGGTTAGCTCAGAAATTTTAACTTTGGAGAGTAGGGATAGAAGGATCTACACAGCAGGCACGTTTTTTCCCCATTTTCGAGAATTAAATGTCAACATCAAACCAGCTCACCTGCATTCTTAATTGAAAATTATTAATAGGCGAGATATAATATCTTCTTCAACTTATACATCATTTGTCTTTTTAATAGAGCCTATATTCAAATAATTACCAGCCGTAGTCCAAAGACTTCAATCGGAAGGGCAGCTTCTTGACGGTCCTTCAGAGACATTCGACCCAAAACCAGCTCCTTGCCGTCGTCTTCGTTTTCGACTCTGCAATAACAATAGGTTTTGCATCGTCAGCTTGCAAGCAACTTGGTTGCAAAAAATACAAATAAGTAAGCAGGTAATAAAAGCTGTCAACAAAAACTCGACGAGAAAGCCTCTGGAGAACTTCGGAATGAAAGCCGCGTCATCACGAAACGTTGCTACTCCTGAACACCTTCAGGGGCCGTATTTCTAGGTCAGCAGTAACAATTTCATAATCTTTGTACGCGCGCTCAAAGGAATATATTAAGAAGGAAATAAGGCCTTCAGAAACTACACATAACGCAACCTTGTCAGATAACACAAGGGTCGCGTTCAAGCCAGACCGGGAACGTTTGCTCATAAGAAATGAATTAACAAGTGGAGCATGATGAAACTTGCGAAGGATGTTAACGCTTAATTATTCTTACATATCGAGCGCCCAGAATGACGTATTTTACATACGCGCAGCAGTCCCAGCTAGTATGGCGACGAGCAATGTGTCGGTGGCTGTAGAGAAGCGGGGCATAATTAAATTTCCGTTGAAGGAGAAATTTAAACCAACAGAAACTTTTGAGAGGATTGCAAGATTAGTATAAAGAACAAACGATGTCACGGACATCAGAATACGAATGGTGTCAACAGTTTTGAGAATGGTGACAGCCGATGACACACGAACCGCACAGTCACGTCCGTCCGGCTCCAGTTACGCCGCACAGTTCTTTCAGTATACGCAAGCAGAATCGAGCATCTGCCAAAAATATGGAAGCGGTGCCGGGGGGTGCACGTGGAATACTTTAAGGAAACTGACATAATTTAATATCACCAGATTTCCTATTTCCAGTAGAAATAAAAGTTTCTGTCAACCTTGAAACATTCTTGAAATATATTGAACTTTCAACGAAGGCCCGTTCAAACCGTCCATCGTTTATAGTATGAACCGAAATACCGAGGCAACGTCAATTAAAAATTATTCCTCTTTATTATATTCCTATTCTGAAATTTAGAAGGAACCAAGCTGCGTAAACGTGGCAAGCAGACGTTGCAGGTGTATATCCTATTACAGGGTGAATTATGCAAGTGTATTATATTGCCGTATTTGCTGTCACGTCACCTGTTGCTGCTTGCATAGAGGGTATACAGTGACACCCCTGTACGAAAGGGAAAAAAATACTGGGCCTTTATATGTCGCAAAGTGAATGGGACTATGAGTGACTGTCCAACGGAGACTGCTAGGGAAACAAAACAGGTAGATTAGAAACCTTACATTTGCGCTCCAAAGGCCTAAACAGACTTCCTGTGCGCCGCGCCATTAGGCAGACCTCTGATTGAGTGTGTAGTGGATAGGGTCTGCGTTTCTGGAGCTGTCAGGGACCCTACCGGAGTTTCTTCAACACTATAGTTCTTTCAATAGCCTCTGCGGAGGCGGAGCTTCGGCGCGCACGTGACCACTCGTTTTGACCTTACCGCGTCTCCACTTTCAGGCGCAAAAAGCCGCGTTTTCGTCGACTTGCTCGCCGTCGGTCTTAAACGAAAAACGCTTTCGGACCCGTGTTTTTTTACAGACTGATCATTGAGTGCCTATATAGAGCAGGAGCGTGTTGATACATGCCCACAATATATAGTCAATACTCTCGTTGCAATTTATGTAAAGCGATTATCTAACGTGATAGCGTTTAGGGGCGGCGTGTCACAAAACATCCGGCGTCGGCGTCGGTGGGACCAAAAAATCCCATTATGCAAAGCGCGCCCACATGTGATGTCACACGTGGCTGTGCCATATGGTCCTTTCGACCCGCTAAATTTGGCGGGAAAAATTGAGCGGAAAATTTTCCCGCCACAATTAGTGGGAATTTTTCCCCCGAAATGCGATATATTGCGTTCAACTCTAAGGCCCCTACGCTCATTTGCGTTTCACCGCGGTGCGTTCTGTAGCAGCAAACGGACGCGTTGCGTTGCAAAGAGCCATTGCGCCAAGCTTGTACAGTCGTCGGCCATATGAGCTCCCCCTGCCGAACGCCGACCAGAGCAGCGAAAATCCTGCAAGCGGGGCGTCGAGCGTTGCCTCCTTTTGGGAGCCGGGCTATTGGGACTAAACCATTCCACTATCAAAGGGGTGGACGCAGGAAGTTTAATAGCATTCCGCGTTTCGGAACGTGAATCTGAAGCACGGCCGATTACAATCCCGCTTGCAGTTGTAGGTAAACGCAGACGGCTTATCGAAATTCTTCACTGCACAATACCTTTGACGTGTTAAATGTTACTTTTTTTATTTGCAAAACCGGTTAGTCATTTTAAATATTTCCTATTCGAAGAGTAATCCTATGCACAAGCCCTTTCTTACAAGCTTATATTAAACCTAGACTAGACAATGACAAGCGATTTTGAAATAATTTATTTAATCTATAAGGATATGCTATAGACAACAAATACAAAATATTTTTGTCGAAGCAGAATAAAGATTCGGGTTTTCAGGAACGTGTTTCATCGAGGAGACTGTACTGTTCTGCGCTCAGTAGCGTGTTACTTCGCCAAGCGTAATCCTCTAGACGATGACTTTGCAGATGGCTTCCTGGCTGGCCACCTCTCGCTTCCCGAAGGATCATTGTTGTCATGCCTAATATCATATCAAGCATAGGGTTCTTACATTTGTCAGCATCGATCGAACACTGCTGCTTTGTCTGCGCCTAAAGCAAGCTCCAGTTTATCAGCAGTTATAACATCCTCTCCGAACACTTGGGGCCAACACCCGAAGGTGGCAATTCTAATCGGCCACCCTTTTGTGATTCAGACTTCTAAAGGCTGCAATCCCGATAAACGCTATGCGTCCACCCCTTTGATAACGGAATGGTTTGGTCCCAATAGCCCGGTTCCCAAAACGCGGCAACGTTTTACGCGCCGCGTGCGGGATTTTTGCTGCTCCTGTCGGCGTTCGGCCGGGGGAGCTCATATGGCCGGCGACTGTACACCCAGTTGCGTCGACACGCGGTCAACCGTAGTCAAGTGCCAATAAGAACGCGCTGTCGTCGCTAGCGGCTCACCAATAGTAAGCGAAATCCTCGGCAACATGGCGGCGCTCGGAGACAGCGTCGAAGTGTTCGATCTTGGGACAATACACCGCTAGCTTCCCCGACATCCTGCCAAGCTTGAACCGTCGCAGCCTCCGAAAAAGCAGTCCCCACCGCTCCCCAAAACGAAAAAGCAAGTTCTGCAAACGGAGAACGTGATACGCCTCATCGAGTGGCACGAGCGAACATGTGACCCTCAACCATTTTGTCGTTTACCCTGAGACTGGGGTTTTTTTTTGAAGAGCAGAAGTCCGCTTCTTTTGTGATATAGTGGAACCTGTAAAGTCACGGTGCAAAGGACAAGTCGTATGTGATTGGTTGTTGACGACGAGAACGAACTATATAAGAGGAATTTGTTGAAATAAACGTGTAGCTGAGTTTGAGACCTGTCTGTTTTTTCTGTTACTTCTGCTCTTCAAAAAAAAAAACCCAGTCTCAGGGTAAACGACGAAATGGTTGACTTCCACCAGCTAGCCTGTACTTTGACTCTTTTATGTGACCCTCCTTTCCTTTCTCGGCTTCTGACTGGTCTGACGGAACGCGCTGCCGCTACTGCCGCGTTCAAAGTTAAGCCGGTTCCTATTCCGTTGCGAGGCGTTGCGCGACAGAGCGTATCGTAGCGCAAGCAAACGCTTCTGGCAGCAAGAACGCCGCTCCGCACTCAAACGCGTTCAAACGCGAATGTGCGTACGGGCCTTTAAGGGCGATTCACGCGGTCGGACTCAGGTTACGAGAATTCGATCGAGTCCGAGGGTTGTCATAACAACCCTCGCACTCGGTCACACTTAGCTTAAGCGTGTGAATGGACCTTTAAATGCAAAACTAAAAAGTCCCCACGTTTTTTTTTGTTTTTTTTTTGCAATTTTTTAGTTTTGTAACGCACTTCGCTAAGCTCATATTATGCATAAAAAAGAGAAAAAAAAAAGTGAAAGCCGCTTACAACTCCCTGTAACGCCGAATTAGAGCGCAGCTCTTGAGGAGGAGTAGGAAAGGGCGCTGGGGGGGGGTTAGACTAACCAGGGGGGGTCACGTGACCTTGGGGGTCACGTGACCTTGGGGGTCACGTGACCCCCAATGCCGATGATGTCATCACTGACGTCACTGATGATGTCATCAGTGACGATGACGATGCGGGTACCGATGACGTCATTAGTGACGTCACTGATGACTTCACCAGTGATGATGACGATGACGATGCGAATGTCGGTGACGTCATCAGTGACGTCGCTGACGGCGTCATCAGTGATGATGACGATGACAATGCGGATGCCGGTGACGACATCAGTGACGGCACTGATGACGTTATCAGTGATGACGATGACGATGCGGATGTCGGTAAAGTCACCGACATCCACATCGCCATCGTCATCATCACTGATGACGTCACCGGCATCCACATCGTCATCGTCATCATCACTGATGACGTCACCGGTATCCACATCGTCATCGTCATCATCACTGATGACGTCACCGGCATCCACATCGTCATCGTCATCATCACTGATGATGTCACCGGCATCCGCATCGTCATCGTCATCATCACTGATGATGACGTCATCAGTGATGATGACGATGACGATGTGATGCCGGTGACGTCATCAGTGTGGATGACGTCATCGGGGGTCACGTGACCTCGAGGAGGGGGTCACGTGACCTCGAGGAGGGGGTCACGTGACCTCAGGGGAGTCACGTGACCTCGAGGAGGGGGTCATGTGACCTCAGGGGAGTCACGTGATTTCGGGGGGTCACGTGACCTCGGGGGTGTCACGTGCCCCCCACGAAGTCACGTGACCCCGGTGGGGGGCTCGCGCGGTGCATTATGGGACATTTCCCATGATGCACCGCGCGGTTACGCCGACGGCGACGCCGACGCCGCTCAAGCCGGAAACGGGCCCCTAAGAGCTGCGCTCTAAAAAGACAGAAGGAAAATGTTGACCTATTCGGGAGGAGATCGAGGAGTGGCGCTCCCTCGTACACCTCGGGAACTAATGCTGTGTGGCAAACAAACCCTTCGACCGCTGTCATTAATGCATTCGCTGCTATGGAAGACGACGATGCAAAGCTTGTGAAAGCTATCTAATACTATTTTTCCCCTGAACGCATTTAGATTGAAGCAATCTAGACTTCTCTTGCATTCAATGTCATCTAAGTCCTCCTGGAAGGCCAAACAAGCGCATCTGTGGACGCGCGGCCGTGCCGGGGCAGCCGCGTCGTGTCAGCCGTGCGCGCTGGAATGTGCTTGGCCGGGGCGGCGTCCATGGTTTTCTGAATGATGCACAAAACACGCACTTCACCTTTCAGTTGCCCTGCCTCTCGCGACAATCATGGACAACATCAGCGAAAACAAGCGGTGTTTCGTTGAAGGAGAGGACGTGCTCAACTGCGATCATGTCATCGATTGCAGCGTTGCACCAGAGCCGACGGCGGACAGTGTCCGCATCGTTGCGCACGTGCTGCGGTCCTGCGTGCTGCTTATACCCGGTTCAAAAAAACATGCTTCGAGCACTGTGATACGCAGCCAGTGCGCACCACATCGCTACAAATATGCAGCGAGCGCAGAAAGCATATGGCGTACGCAAGGCCAGTGCTAGCGTGGGAGTTGTTTGCCACACAGCGAGTGTTTGTGGTGGTGATGACGATAATGAAACAGCGCCGCCTATAGTTCGATCTCCTCGCCAATACCGGCCAAGTCAATTTCCATCAAGATTTCGAGTATCGATAACCGTCTTGATACATTGCTGCTATCAGTGCTCACGTGACCTTTTAGTGATCACTGAGCATGGGTAAGCCGTTTCCAGCATCTATATTGCAGAGCTAAAAAGAAGCACAGAACAGAACGCGAAACATTACTCCAGCTTTATAAGCCACCGACAGCTTGAAGAAATGCAGTGCATGGTGCGTCCCAAACATGTCATCGCCGCTCCGCGGTCCATGAGTTTGCACAATCGCCCGATAAGAACGCAAGCCAGGCCCCTCGTTTCTTAAGTTGTCACTGATTATAATACCCGACTTTTCGCTATATATTTATTCGTCGATTTCGGATGCGCATATGGCGTTGGAGGCTTCGTGTAGCGGAAACTCTTCTAGGTAGATGAGTGCGGTGTACTCTGATTACTTCCTCCTTCTTACCATACCGAGTGAAAAAAAAAGAGAACGAGGAACACTAAAGGAACACTTGCGAGAGGACAACATACGTACTCGCCACTGAACTTTAATAATAGTAATAAAGCTAATTTGCGAGTACAGCTGCTGTTCTGTCGAAAATGTTCCTATCTGTGTCGACTTTTTCGCACAACACTTGGAAAGTCAACCACCGCAACTTAAGGAGGCAGCTCAGCAAATGACGATGTCGAAATGTGTGTTTAGACAAAAACAAAACGCAATCTGAGTTGTGACATTAAGCAGTGCAAGCGTGACGTTTTGCATTGCTTAATGTCACAACTCAGATTGCGTTCTTTTAGTCTAAACATATGTTTCGGCATCGTCATTCGCTGAGCTGCCTCCTTAAGTTGCGGTGACTGGCTCTCCAAGTGTTGTGCGGGAAAGTAGACGCACGGGCCTTTTTAAGAGTTTATTACCACTTCTCCCGGTTCAAATCTCTCATTCTCGTTTTCTTATATTCCGTGTATATAAATAAACGGTGTTACAAATCACTAACCTAAAACTCAAAACCAGTCCCTAAGCATTCATCGAGTTCTTCCACGTCTGCATCCACTGCCTTTCAGTGGTGCAAGAATCGCAATGCTCGCAAGGTGAATCCTCTTCATGTAGCATCAATGCACAAGGATGCATCTGTTGAGAAGCGATTCCGCCTGAATTGATCCTTCAGGTTAAAAGATAGCGTGAAAAAAGTGAGCTTATCCCGTTTGCAGTCTAACAAATTCGAGCTAACAGCATATAGTGATTCAAGTAGAGACTAAACAAACAATAGCTTCTCAATATACACCGTTGCGTCTTAAGCAGCTCCTCTAGTCCGAAGACTTTTGCTGTTGGTGATGTTCAGGTCGCTTCACGAAAAACCGTCCTCTCTGCGCGCACTCGCCCCCATCTCATTTCTTGTACTTCTTGAGCTAGACAAAGTTTCTCATGATGGCCACTATTTACTACTAATATTAAACAAACCGTCAAACGCTCGCGCACTACAGCTGGATTGATCCTGGACACGAACCACCAATAGGCCCTTTTCGAAACTTCATCCAGCAACATCGAGGTCGCCATTCTTTTGGGCACAAAGCGCTTGATCGGATCCGAGTAGTCACCGAACACCGACGCAGCACTCGTTTCCGATACAAGTTAAACCAAGTTCACGCCGAATTAAACACGGTGTCCAAGATATGTTTAAAGTGCGTGCCGAAACAATACAAGGCTCGGATACTTGGCGCAACAGCTACTAGACGACGCGCACTTTCGAAAAGGATCCATTCGTGCGCCCCGCGATTCCTTCCCCATGTAGCAGACGCCATGGATCGCGCGTCTTCGAAAACAGCCGGTGTCCGACTGGTTCCCGGCTCACCTTCTAGAGCCGACGACCACTCTGTTCTCGAGAGCCAGGTACGGGTTCTTCTGCGGTTTCGGGGCTTGATGACGTGGCAGAGACAGCTGAGGCTGAAGCTGCTGCGAGCTGATGGGCTCGGCCTGGGGATTTCGCTGGGGCTCCTGCTGAGGGGGCCCGGTGTCCATGGTGACGTGCAGGCCTTGCTTGTTGGGCTTCTCGGGAGACGGCACAGGACCTGCGCGGAGTCGGGTAGGCACATGTCAAGCATTGCTGCTTCGTTACGCAGTTTAGCAATCTACTACCATTGCACACAAATTAAAACCACTCTTCTGCTGGTGTTGTCGTTGACCTTCAAGCGTTCGAAAGCTAATAAAATCGCGGCCGAAGAATAAATCATAGAGTAAGACGCTTCATAGTCCACGCCCTGCGTTTCTTAGGGTGTCAGCGACAATAAATAATAGCAAAAGGTGTTCGAAAGCCGTTCTATTAAACGAATTGCAGGAAAATTATTCCAGTGACAATAAACGTTATAAACTTGTGATGTTTATAAAAAAGTATAAAGAATGCACACTTTTGTTGCTTATTCAAATAAAATTAAAGAAAGCGTAGTGACTCACCTGGAAGTGCCGAGTCACGCTCCGGATTGTACTGCAATAAATTAAAAGCATATGTGAGCCTGTAGGTATGTTTTAGGAAGTGTTACTCGTTTTGATCATATATAGGCACATCTTGGAGATGCAAATGACACTCTTGTTGAAAAAAAAAAAAAGAAATTCTACTCGTTTTATTCGACTACTTGAAGATACAGATGGTTCTCGCGTCGATAAAGAGTGCTAACCGTTTTCATCGCGGATGGGGTCTATTTGAAAATACAGATCGCACTTGCGTCGAAAAAGAGTGCTGTCCTGTCGTCTTCGTGTCTTCTTTGTCCTTGTTTTGATCGCGCTTTTTAAATCTTCTTTTTTTTTATTAATATGGACCAACTGGCCGAAACCCAAATTTTAGTGCTAGAGAGCCTAGACTAGAGACAGGATCCATATCAAACCATGGGGAGCGTTTGAAATTTAGTGGTGGATCCGCCTCGTGCGCAGATGGATCGCGAGTGCGCACGCAGTGCGTTGTCGCGTGGCATGGAGGAAAGCAGGCGGAAAGACGAAAACGCCTGCAGACGATTCTCGCTTTTGCCATCTCCTCGCAGCTCGTGTTGCAAACGAGGCTCAGAAACCACGTGACCCTGATCAAGCAGTTGGAAACTCTCTGTAATGTATAGGCCCTCCAACGAGTGCCACTCGTTTTCATCACTGAGAAATACAGCTTGAAAATACAGATGGTGGTCACGTCGAAAAAGAGCACTACCCGTTCTCATCACTGATATATGTACTTTGTGGAAATACAGATTGCGCTCGCGTCGAAAAAGAGCGCTACCCGTTCTCATCACTGAGAGGTACTTCTTGGAAATACAGATGGCGCTCGCGACAGGAAGTGGCGAGCAGATCCTTCCGCTCCCGGAAGCGTATGGGGACTTCCCCACGGAAACTAAAACCATAGGGCAAATCCAGTTTTCTGATTGGCCTATTTGAACATCCCTTTCCTTTGCAAGCAGTGGACGGCCATGACCTTGCGCGGCTCCGTTCTCGAGATAAGATTGCCCATGTCAGTAAAGCGCCGTTCACACATTTGCAACCAAGCAGGACCGAGAGAGACAAGACCGGTTTAAACCTCCTGCGATGGCGTATAGGACCAGATGCTTTGCTGCGTAGCATGTCCCACGCCGTCGCAAGAGGCTTAAGGCCCGTTGACTCTCCTGCAACCGAATACGACCGAGAGAGACGAGACTTGTTAAAACCTCTTAAAATTTCTTAGGACGAGAAAACACACTGGCACAATGGCGCCATCTATGCGGTGACCCTGGAACTGTATTTCACAAGAGCGAAGGTTTTGCGAGATTTCCGAGTTCAAATGTGCGTAATACCTATAAGAAAGGCTCGTTTATAACGTTGACAAAAGTTTTTCGAGCCAAGAAAGAAAGGATAATGCACGAGAGAAATAGAAAATATGCCGGACCGCCAAGTTTACACTGCTACCCAACAGAAGGCGCCAGTGTGTCCCCTCGTTGTAAGAGGTTTTAAGGAACCCAGTTTTAAGAGGTCGCAAGAGTGTGAACGGGCCTTTAAAGAAATGAAAGCCGTTTACTGTAACGCCGAATTAGAGCGCAGCTCTTGAGGAGGAGAAGGGAAGGATATTGAGGGGGGGGGTCATGTGACCTTGGGGGGTCACGTGATCTCGGGGGTCACGTGACCTTGACGATGACGATCCGATGACGTTATCAGTGACGTCACTGATGACGTCATCAGTGATGGTGACGATGCGGATGCCAATGACGTCATCAGTGATGTCACTGATGACGTAATCAGGAATGATGACGATGACGATGCGGATGCCGATGACGTCACCAGGTTGCATGCAGCCTGGATTGCATGCAACAGGTCGTACACAACTCGTTGCATGACAGTTGCATGCAACCTATTGCATGCAACTTCCGAAGGAACCCGAGGTCCTCCCGAAGGAACCCGAGGTCCTCCCGAAGGAACCCGAGGTCCTCCCGAGGTCCTACCGAAGAAACCTGAGGTCCTCCCGAGTCCCGAGGTCCTCCCGAAGGGACCCGAGGTCCTCCCGAAGGACCTCGGGTTCCTTCGGGACGACCTCGGGTTCCTTCGGGAGGACCTCGGGTCCCTTCGGAAAAACTTACCCATAATGCACCGCGCGGCTACGCTGACGGCGACGGCAACGGCGACGCCGCTGAAGCCAGAAACGGGCGCCTAAGAGCTGCGCCCTAAAACCAGTCACGTCTACCTCGGTCCTACTCGGTTGCAAGTATGTGAACGGCACTTAAAGCCCGTTCACACGCTTGCAACCGAGTAGTCCCGGCTGAGGCAAGACCGCTCTTGCGACGGCTTAGGACCGGATGCGCTGCTGCGGAGCAGGTCCTAACCCGTCGCAACAGGCTTGAAAACCCGTCTCGTCTCAGCCGGTCCTACTCGGTTGCAAGAATTTTAACCTGCCTTAAACCGAGAATTGTTGACGCGACGTGCCATGGGACGACCAACCGAAGACAGCAGGGACATGATGGCTGGCGATACTGGCGGTAAACAAGAGTTTTGGCAGCAAAAACAACTCCAGATGCTCCCTGAAAGCGTCGTAATTGCGCGTAGATGCACGCGCAAAGATACGGGACTGGTTCCGATAGGGTCGTAAGCAAGCAAATCTCCAAGGCGGCATCATCTCCGAGACGGCATCAGTGTAAGCGTGAAACGCAAAAAAAAAAAAAAAAAAAATGTGTTGCTTGTATGTTTATACAGCCTTGGTGATAGTACGTTTCAACAGTTGACCTGTCTCTTAGCTGCATATGAGAAATTTAGCCAGTGCAGTACAACCACTAACCTGGGGTTTTTACCGTGTATCATGCAGCAGTGATTACACGAACGCCGTGCCTGTACGAAACTCACCTAGACCGAAACGAGCAGAGGGTGGGGATCGAACCTATAAGGTTTCTGAAGCGCAAGCTTTCGCTCTACGCTCTGAGCTGAGACGCGTTAACCCACTCAGCCGCCTATCCCCCCCCCCCCCCCTCTAGCCTCTCTCTACCTCCTCCCCCTCTCCCCTTTGTACCGTGTAAATCAGGGGAACGTATGGAGAAAGAAAAGATTCTGAAGCCGCGCGTGTTGTCGAAGGGCGCATGCTTTTGACGTGCTTGAATAAAGGTCAATCAGGGGCCCCGGATTTTCTCCATGGTTTCACTTCGTGAGGAAATTTCAATGCGCCTCCCGGAAAGCTCTAAGGCAATAGAGAGTTTTCATAGATAGATCGTGCCGATACCTCCGATAACGATAGCCGATAACGATAAGATGCATGCGCAATGGCGATGGCGGAGTATCACGTATCGTTATGGGAGTCGAACAATATTTTTCACTTCTGTTTCCCCTTTCTCCTCGTTCCTCTCTTTTCTCGTTTTTGTTTTTTTCCAATTTTCTGTGGAAATAAAACAGAAGCCGTTTTTAGTTTGCGCCTATTTCTGAATGTCGGGTTGTCTTTCTCGTCTCAGTGTTGTTAATTGTAATCCTTTGCAGCACTGTTTTATGGAAGCAAGATTTAGTAAAACTCCCTAACAAGCATAGAAGATCCTTACGCCCTCCATCTCCATGAGCTCTGGCAGTCGGAGGTGCTCGTAGGCGTTGAGTCGGTACTCCTCGATGTGCTGCTTCTTTTGGCGCGCCTTGTCGAAGTCTTCCATCTCGACCGCCATCTGCTTCTCGATCACCATTTTGCCCAGCTTCTCGCCCACCTGAGGAGCAGAGGGCGAATCGGATAACATAATCAGAAACAGTTCTTTCACCCGAACGACGTGAGAGGGATCAAAGCAACTGTTCTAAAGTTATGCTTGAGCACGAGCTACCACGATTTGTTGAATAGTTCAAAAAGACATTCGTCCCTTTTGTTCCCCTTCTCCAGGGATTTTTGTTTCTTTTTTCAGTCAACACCATAGACGATTATCAAAGCCTGTGCAGCAGAATTTTGACGTCATAATAGTGAGACCGAGGGAAAGACACTGATTGGACACGAACGTTCCGCCAGCGTTCGGCTGGGCTTCGTGTCCAATCAAGGCGTCGAAGAACGCGTTGATTGGACGCCAGCCCGATGCCGACGCGTCAGCTTCGGCATCCGGCTCGTGTCACTGCTGAGTTGGCGTTATCAAACCAAGATGACGTTCCATGAATGTAGAAGGGGATGTTCGCCTGCCTTGACTATTCTGGGTGGCGTTGGTTCGACCATTGAGTTTGTGACTAAGCTTCTCATAAGGCGCGGAAGTTATATAATTTTTTTTTGTGTGGAAATACTGCCAATTTCAGGCAGAGGTCGTAACAGAAATGAGGCCAAAATATATACATTATAATTAGGGTTCCGTGTTTTCGGATAAATATATATATATAAAAAAAAGATCATACAAGCGCTTACCGGTAAATTTTTATTCGATTCGAATTTATTTCAAAAACTCCAAAAGTCAAGGTCACTATTAAAAACGAAAACTATATTGCATTACGAATACATTTTGTGAATACACAGGATCAGTAGTCCTGAGGAAAGTTTCGTTTGAACTCTCGGACTATTGACAAAAGCGCGTGCTGTTTATCTCCTTAAAGGGGCTCTGCAATCCTATTTAAGCGCACAAAGAGTGTAACTAAATATCAGTGCGTCATATTTTAACCGGACGACGCGGAAACCTCCTCCACCGACGAGGGCGACCCGCGGTACCGAAAGCGCGCGATATGCGACGTTTTTGGTCCTGGATTTACTCCTGGTCAGGGCCGGTAAAAGCTTCTTTTTTAGTCGAAATACAAAATATAACTGGCGCGAACCGTTTCCATCATTTATGAAAGTAGTTCTTGTTCAGTGTTTAAGATCAGAAAAAAAAAACAAATGCAAAAAAACAAAAAAACAAAAACAAAAAACAAGCGCTATTAATTATTTCAGCTGATAATCGGTTGGGCTCTGAGTCACAAAGTTCCAAGAAGAAAGTGAAAATGCCTCCTTTACTTTTTAGGGGAACCTTTATCCCGTTGCAAGCCCCCTTTACTCCTTGGCGCGCATTTATTTATTTTAGGAAGCAGCACTGTTGTACTCCCCGATAGAACACAGTAGCAGACCCTATGACTGTCGACCAATCGTGCAGTGAGTCTGAAGTTTAAATAACATTGAAATTTTTTTTTAGATGCTTGTCCGTGTTTCCTTTTTGTGGGAGGTACTGCGTCAAGCTTCAAATAAAGCTGTACATTGCTCTTTTGACGACGTAGCAAAAAATAGTGAAAACCTATCGTGTAATTTGACTTTTTTTTACATTATGCCTAAACATTAATGCAACCAAATTTTTTGATTAATTAACCGACTAAAGGGTGCCGATTAATCGGGTTGAAATTTTTAATCGACGCCCGGACCTGACTAAAATGGATTTATATACAAGCAGTTCTTTTTTTGGGCGGCAGTATTTGACACGCTTTCTCAGCATTAAGTGTGCGGCCCGTAATATTATTTAGGCTCTTTCTTAAATACAGGCACAATGAAACCTCGATAAAACTGGAGAAACGTAAGGATTGTATGTTATATACTAAATAAAAAAATCGACGTCAAAAAAACTAAATGTTATTCAGTATGTTTCGTGATCCCACTCACCTTCTGTAGTTCCACGACTGCATATTTTAACTTCTTGGCGAATACGAATCTCTCCTCTGAAAATAAAACACAAAATAGACGTCAACATCAATACGCTCAAAAGAATTCCGAGGAATATATTTATGCACGATAAGCACTAACCGGTCAGAACAGAAAATAAAGTATTTGTGAAGAAGTTAAGTTTTATTGATAACTTCTCGGGTGGTAAACGATTTCTTCTGCTAATCGTTGTTAAACAAGCGTTTGCTATGAGCCGAGAGCTCATAACAAATACGTGCGTCCCCATTTTGCGCTCGTTAAACGCAAGAAACCACCTTCACGGAGTGACGTTAAAGTTTTGAGCTCGTTTATGGGGTCCTTACATTATATACTACGTTCACCATGCTATTTATACATCACACAAAAGACAGTCTGCAGACAAATTCGAAGGGGAGTCACCGCGAGATACGTGCTTCGAATGCCGCATGGCAATGAGTTCAAGGAGAAACTCAGCACGCGGCATTCGAACCACGGATATTGCGGTGGCTCGTGTTAGCGGACTCTCTTATGTACGATGGATGCGCAGTGTGACCCCGGCTTTTAAGCGGACAGGATGGAAGCTGCGCGCTCGCGGGAGCAATCAACCGACCCCCTTTGATCACCTGAACCCCATTCTCTCTACCTGTGGGGTTAACGTGATCGCTCGTGGATATGGGCGTGAGCACTTGGCCAATAATTGACGGGCGACTGGCCCAACGAGTATGTAGCTTCTACCGTCCTGTCGGCGTAGGGGTGAACGAAGTAGATAAAAGATGCACACGCGTAAAGATATACTTCAATCTACGAAGAGAGTTTGGAAATTAGCGATGCTAAAAAACAATAATACTTAGACAAAAATAAACTATATGATGTGACACTGAGCCTCACGCAAGCGTGTGAAATGTCATGCCCAGTGTGACATTGCAAACTTAGATTCGAGGTCAAGCAATTTGTTTTTGGTCATATTCGTTCCCCAAGCAACCTTCTTAGATTGCAGTGATTGGTTCTATCAGTGCCCTGGAAAACAGCACACGCACTGGCATGCTTTGAAGGCAGGTGCGTGTTAAGGCTGGCTCACACATTTACGTTTACACGCAACCGAGTGCATTGTGCATCCTTACGACGGGAGAAGATTGGAGAGCCTGTATTAGAGAGATTGTCCAACTAACTACTCGATCGGGTCGCGTGGTTTAAGGCTGCGTTTGAAGGCCCGTTCACACTCTTGCGACCTCTTAAACCTGAGTTCCTTAAAACTTCCTAAACCAGAAAAAACACAGGCGCCATCTATTGGGAAGCAGTGTAAACTCGGCGGTCCGGCATACTTTTTTTTATTTCTCGCGCATTATCCTTTCTTTCTTGGCTTGAAAAGCTTTTGTCAATGCTATAAACGAGTCTTTCCATGGGTATTACGCACATTTGACCTCGGAAATCCCGCAAAACCTTCGCTTTTGTGAAATGCAGTTCCAGAGTCACCGCATAGATGGCGCCACAATGCCAGTGTGTTCCCTCATTCTGAAAACATTTAAGAAGTTTTAAGAGATCTCGTCTCTCTCAGTCGTACTCGGTCGCAAGAGTGTGAACGGGCCTTGACATACGAGCTGCGTGGTGGTGACGAACGGGCTGATCGTCTGCGAACGTACTCTGTTTTTCCGCGAGCTTTCGTTTTGCATGCTGGCGCCATCTATAAGTTAGCCCTGGAACCGCAAATTCCACTAGGTTTAGCAGTATTTGCTAGATTGACTGTACGTGCTATCCGAGGAAAATGATCACTCTTAACGTTGTCAAACGTTTTGAAAGCTCTAGATGGAAAAATGATTCTAAAAAGGATAGGGAACATATGCAAATGACAAGCATTGTAGTGCTAACCGATAGATGGCGGCAGTAGATGGAGGCAACTAAGCGGAAGTACGTTAATAACCAGCTTTTATTCTGGCCAGAAAATGTATAGAACATACTTTTTTGGTTAGAATGGCAACACAAACAATACAAAAACAGTCGCTTTCTACCCACCACCAACCTATGTAACTAAACTGTTGAGTAAACTGACAAAACTGACGTCCAATGTTAAACCCTCCACGAGTCTATGTTAACTAATCATCGAACGATACGAATTTGTTTACCTACTCTTCCCCCTTATTCTCTCCTTGCAACGCCTACAGACACACACCACCAGATTATGTTGACTGAAAACTTAAGTAAACTGACTAGACAAGCTTCCTGTATTCCTACTGTTTGCACTATAGTTACAACGCGTCCTCGGCCTCAATGCATAAATTATCGCTAATTGTTAAAAGTTGACTCGACAACTCATAACATTACCGTGGCTAGTGGCGCTCGCACAAGCGCGTCTACGCCCATTAGCGGCTCGCTAATGGGCTTGATTAGAAGTATATATACCGAGCAAAGAAACAACAAAAACGACGTTTTTTTGTTTTGTTTTTTTTTTTGTCTTTTTTCTTTGCTGTTAGTCTACGTAAAAGATAGCCGCTGCAATCGCCACCGTAATATAAAACTCGACGAGCCATTGGCCGTAGAAACACTTCTTTGCAAGCGTCAACCTTGGGTCCGGGATAAACTTCGGTTTGTGTCAAACTTTTGTCTACGCAAACGCCAGATACGTTGACGAAATCCGAAGGCCTCCGCTCTGCTCCTGTGTACGCCACGCCCAGCGGCCAATGGTCTTCGGTCTGACGTGTACATTAGCATTCGGCCTGCGCAGCGAGAGAAGCGAAGCCCACACACACACACACAGCGCAGCGACGAAAAGAAAGAACAAAAATATATAGGAAATACTGCAGTTCGCGTCACTCAATTTTGGTTCGTGTAGTTGTTTGCAACTTCTGGTTTTCATTTTTAGGGGGAAAGCAGGAACGGTGGAGCTAGGCGCTCGCCAAAACAATTATCTGCCTCCCTTTTCATCACCTGACCATGCTCTGTGCCCGAAGGTAGGGGCGGGACCGTTGTCACGTGGCGAAAGATAGACTTGTGACTGGTCCAGTAAGCACGTCGCTTCCACAGCACTGTCAGCTTAGCGCTGAACGGAGTGATAGAGGTAAAAGAGGGGGCAGGGGGAGAGAGGAAAGTGGAAAGGAGAACGTTTTCGGCGACCTCATCAGCTTTTCTCGAAAATTATCGCCATTACCATAAAGCGCTCATCCGACGCTCCACTCGGCACCCGCAGCTCGATAATTATGCAGTTTGTTTTATTCATATCTTTTTACGGGGCGAGCATTTTAGTTGGTAAAACCTACAGTCATAGCCATGTTTGTGGTGGGCTCAGGGTTGAGCTGGTCTCGCTATGATTGCAACACTCATTATATATCGTGCTGAATATCGTGTTCAATTCGGAGCTCCGGATTCTAGAGCGAGACAAGGACGAACAAAGATGATGTACCGGACTGGATTGTCTTTTCTATAACGTCAAAACTAGGTGCGATATTTCGACGTAGACGCTTTCGCGAAGATCAGAAGATTTGTAAAGTACCATATGCGTAGTGTTTCGTAGTATATATGGAATGCTAATCCATAATATTGCTGTAAGCAGCTTAGAAACCCAAAAGATCTTGACGCTAGACGTGGAATGTCTGGAGCATCCTAAAAATGTATTTGCGTCTTCGAAGTGGAAACACCTGCCAACATTAGTGGTATCAATAGCTTATATAAATATTAGGGGCGAAGCTCGTTAGGGTCTAGTCTTGTCCGTCCGTCCGTCTGTCCGGCCGGCCGGCCGGCGTCCGTGCTCACATAAAAAGAAAAAATGCTTGCGCAGTCGACAGGATTCGAACCTGTGCGGGGATGTCTAGTCCATCGCCTTAACCACTCGGCCACGACTGCGGGACGAGTAGGGGGCTCTGAGATGTGTTAGGAACTCAAGAGCTGGGGTTTCTGTGATGGATGAAACGTTGCATGTAGCCGCTCAACGTGTATATAGGAGAGGGCGCTGCGGTCAAATGCGTATATAATCGCGTTAAACTTTGCATGCATTGACTCAACGTTTATAGACGAGAGGGCGCTGCGGTCAAATGCTCAGATGCGTATATAACCACGTTCCATACCACACATTCTCTTTCTAACATGGACCGTTGACTTAATCGGTGGAGATGCGTTCCCACTAGGGTGACCACCCGTCCCGCGACTCGCGGGACTGTCCCGCATTAAGGGCTCGTGTCCCGCGTCCCGCGAGAGATCCCAGAATTTTCAAAATGTCCCGCATTTCATACCGTCGTAAAATTCACTCTGAAACTCATGGTGCTACCGAACAACGGTGCACGAAGAAGCGCGGAGGTCGGTAATCATGTGAATCGGAGTGGTACGCCATTTTCCATCTAAGCATTGTGGGAAGCCACCGTCGTTCTTGTAGGAAGACCGAAATACCAACGCGCATGCGCCGTTGTGCCTCTTCCCTTGGTAGCCAAATATTGAGAAAAATGCTCACCAATAGTGGTGTGTAGTAAATGTGGTAACTAGAAACTATTGTAATTATTTCATATAGTTGTCTCAATGCGAAAAGGTTGTTCTGGAGATTTTTTTTCGTGACGACAACCACACAAGGCAAAAAGCCTGCAACTCACAAAGGTGGAAAAAGAACATAATGTTAAAAATGTGTGTAGGACCATGTTGATAAAAGTAAGCGTTGATAGGAAACAATAACCCGAAAAAGATTTACTGTTTCTTAATTTCATTTGATGCATTGAGTTCTGCTGCAGCTGGATTTTATGCTTTCATTAAATAACATATTTGGCATAAGAACATATCACTGGGAGTGAAAATTATTTTAGCTTAATAGCTGCAATACAATTTCCAGCTCTATAAACAGCACAGTATATTAAATGTGTTAACATACCCTCGGTTCGTGGTGTCCGTGTTCACAAATTTCCTCTAACCCCCCCCCCCCCCTCCCCCTCTCCCTCCCTCCCTGTTCCGTGTGTCCCGCATTTCGCTAGCAGGAAGGTGGTCACCCTAGTTCCCGCGGCTCCTAGCGGATCCAAGCTGATCCGCTAGAAGAACCACTGGCTCTGCATTGCACCGACCATAAAGCAGTAATAATGAAGTCGAAACGCAACCCGGAACTCAGCACTACCTATGAGCAATAAAAAACAAATCAGCACCATCAGCACTACCTATGAACAATAAAATCAGTATCATCAGCACCACCAGAGCTTCGCCCCAATCAACATCATTCACCGCGTGGAGATGCGGTCATTTTTATTTTAAACTGCTCTCACTAATTATTTTTATGTAATCACCTCGTGACTGTGTTGCACCATTATGTATGTATATTTTCTGTGTTTATGTCATCTGTAATATCCTCTGGGCCCTCGAGAGCAGTGTAATAAAAAAATAATAAATAAATAAATAAATATATTAAATGTCTATACTTTGTTCCAGCTTCCGTCGGAGCGCAGCCAAAGCTACGTGTAGCCGGAGCCAATCACACGCGATCTCGCCTGCACTTTTGTATCACTCCGCTGCTCCGCTGGTCGTCCGCACCGCCCGCGCTAGCCGAACAGCCAAGGGGATGTTTTTCGTCTGCAACGGTTGCATCAACGGTATCGTCTGCTACAGGTTTCACGTTCTGAAATTTAGTCACAGGGGATGTCAGTACGCAGGCTGGCCGCTGGCGTTTGCGTCCGAGCTTTCCACCTGTTCCACATAGTTTTGAGATGTAAGTACACGTTCTAGGGTGCTCGATGACCTGGCCGTTTATGTTTTTTGTATTGTTTGGATATACCAGGGCTCGAGGCGCAGCCCTTTCCACCAGCTTCTCGGCCTTCAATGTGATCGGCAGGTAAAGGGGTGCCCTGATTTCGCCGCGTATCAGTCAATTGTAGTGGCCCGGTTCGGTTAACAACTACGCGGTACGACGCGGCCGGAGTCTCCTACCGATTGTGAAAGTAGACATTCATCATGACCTCTCGCGCCTGACGCCCAAACGTGCCTATGCGAAAGGACGTTTTGAAACGACTCGGTGAGGAAAGCAGCGAAGCACATGATTCGACCATTACGGGAACGAAATCCCACAGAAAAACCGAGCGCTGCAGCCGTGTTGCCAGGAGATGTACGAGTTTTCACCAAACCACATGCATTTACATTTATTAATAAAAACATAAACTTCAGACATTTAATTTCTTCAGATGCAAATCATTCTCAGCAGTACACATCTGAAATATTGTGCAATGTTTACGTACAAAACAGTTACTTGGAAAAAAATACTTTTGCGGACTACTTTGTGGTGCGCAGGAATGCTCTTCTCGAAGTTGCGAACCGGCTTTCAGCCTTTGGCTGCGCTCGGACGGAAGCTGTGGCGAAGTATAGTTCCACACTGTGCAAGTTCTTTAAATTCAATTAAACGTTCTCTTCTTTTTTATATATTCCTGATGTTTATTTTTCGGTTTTGTACCCCACCACTGAAGACATGTATTCAAAAGTCCTACAGTGTGCTTTACATACATACATACATACATACATACATACATACATGCATACATACATACATACATACATACATACATACATACATACATACATACATACATACATACATACATACATACATACATACATACATACATACATACATACATACATGCATACATACATACACACACATACATACATACATACATAAATAAATAAAGGTTAACGGCGGCAAGGACAATAGTTATAATCTCTCGAATGATAATTCAGTCTCGGTGGTGTAAGAACGTTGAAGCCTTATTTGCAAAAGATCTTTCCCTGCCTTTGTTTCATTTCCTCTCTCCTATATCCTCTCACTTCATCGCTCTACCTTTCTCAAGAGTGTGATTATAATAATTGCAGAAATACGAGTTTTTGGATCTTTATGGTTTTTACCTCTACATCCCAAACGATATATGTCCAAGATTTATCCCTTGTCTATATCACCCTGCGAGGAAATTCAATGTGAGGATTGCTCACAATAGCAGTGTACTCTATTAGCGAAAGTACTACATCCCTAGGGTGATTAAGACATCAATATATTACCCCCCAAAAAGTGTATCTGAAATCATGTTGAGTTCTTAATGGCATTGTGCTTTTTTGTGACGCTTGTTTTTAACAATATTCCGACATTTGCCTTCGTGATTGTGTTAATTTATAGCATGATCGTGAACGAGTCAAATTATAATTAAACCACCACACGGGAGGCAACCTCACACGTAAGGATAGTATATGAAGAATACGCTCACCGGCGATGGCGTCTCGTTTCTTCGCTTCCAGCTTGCGTAAGATCTGCGCCACTTCGGTGTCCACGTACATATCGAATGCCAAGTCGTCCATCGGAGAGATTTCCTCGTTCCTGGCAAAGAAAAATAAATTTATTATGCAATTAAAACAATGACGAGTGACATGAAACACGTTACAACTAAAAATCAATTCCCTAATATAGTTCGATAACTGTAGTTCATTAAAATATTACCTGTAGTTCGTTCGTTCTACATTACATCCGACTGCATCCAACGCTACTGTCCGAAAAACAAAACCAACATTTTTTTTTTTTTATGTAGAGGAGCATTGAGGGGACCTGCTAATGTTGTTAAGCGTACAAATGCTAGCGAACCGGTTCTTATTGCAGATTAATAATTGTAGTTAGGGAAATCAATCCTACTCGACGGTGCTCACAAATGCAAGTGCACTAGCACTTAGTTACTGAGCAGAATTCAGTGAAAATAGATGCGAGTGAAAGTGAGATGAGTGAGAATAATATAACAGTGCGCTGGTCTTCTCTTTTTCTGACAATGTTCCGAGCTCTTGTTTTGAAGATATGTGTACGAAATAAATTTCGTACATATACCTTCAAAACAAGAGCGCGGGACATTGCCAGAAAAAGAGAAGATACCAGGCCGGCTGGGCTTTAGGCCGGCTTGCTAGAAACAGCCCCCTCAGCGGAGACCGGTTAAAAGAAAGCGCTGCAAAGTCTTGGGAGCGTGAACTTCTTGAGACGCGGTTCGAGCTCCGCTCAGCTCGTGCGCTGATTTTGGCTGTGCTGTCTTACTGCCAACTCTCAGCTGAGACGCTGTTTGTACCAAGCCGGCCTTGAAAGCACACTAATGTCTTTACCATTTACGTCCCTTTATTGTAGACCCTAATTTATTTGAAACAGTGAGACCCCCTCGGGTGACAAACGGTCGGGCAAATTGAATATGAATACTGCTGCCGTGCACGTTCACCGATTGTAGTCAACGGTGTTTTTTTACCAGACTCTCGCAAATATGGTTGTAGACCATGGCGCTACAAACAAACCCATCGGGGTAGAGCTGTCGGAATGTCCACAGGCGTTCATGAAGAGGATCTGCTACACTCTAAAAGAAAGTATGCGAGTTCACTTTTTTGCAGATTATACTTCACGTTCTGCAGAAAAGCGAATTCACATACCTTTTTCTTTTAGTGCTTATAGTTTCTTGTCGTAAGTTTGTTCGATGTTGCAGCATTAAACAAGTACACTGCGCGACACTGTTAACATGAACAAAGTATCGACTTTTTTTTTCGGATTTTACTTCCAAAGGGCGTTGACGGGCTAATAGTTTCGATGGCAATCATTTAGCTAAAAAAAACAAAAAAAAACACGACGATTATTTGTTTGCGTTAAGAATGTAGCGCAATGTACAAAGTAATTGCTGGGAATGCTTGCTTTTTAATGAGGCTGTAGGGGTATTCACACGAGAGAGGAATCCCGGGGATTTCTCCCCGGCACGCGCGTATCACGAGATGAAAACGCGAGGCTTTTGCACATCGCAGAGCCTGACGTTTTCGTCGTGGGATGCGCGTGCCGGGGAGAAATCCCCGGGATTTCTCCCTCGTGTGAATCCCCCTATATCAGACGAAGGTAAGGTTTTCATTTTAACTCCAGATATCACTTTTCGCGTTTCACATCACAAGATTTGTGGCGTATTTAATTATGATTAAAAATAAAATTATTCGTCAGCCATCCTTCAGCTTAGAGCGTATAAACATTTGTATGTTATCTAATTACGTATTTCTGTGGGTGTCGGGGTTACTAGTCTTCCGATGCGTATTCACAAATGACAAATTGGGAAACAAATGAGCAACCCGCTAAATCTCACTGGTGAGTTTCTATTTCGATTATTCACAACACTACATGAAAGTCAAAATTTATTTTCTATGTGTATTCCAGAGAAGTGACAGCACATTCGTCTACACCAAATATGTATATATATATATATAAGGTATTCAGGGCATCTTGTAATGTATAGAAACCAACGTGCTAAAAAGCGTTTCTGACACCTCTTGTGTATCTGACGGTGGGGTTTAAAGTAAGCCGTCTTTATATTTCACTTTTTCTGCAGCAGAAGGACCCCTCTACTCCACTTCGGCTACTGCATGTAAACACATTATTTAAGAACAGCGTCCTCGAAACTACTTTTTCTGACAGCATGCATGCACCCAATCATCGCATTTTGCATGTAGATATGAACCGGCTGATCGCGAAAATACAATCTGTACAGATAGCATTTTCGCGCGAGGACGTTAGCTCTTAGGGCTCATTCACACTGGAAGCGGATCCGCGTTCGCAAAGCGGTTGCGAACGCGGTTGTATAAGGATTCAGTACAATTGCACGCGCACACGATGACATCAAATGCGCGTGCAATTGCACTGGATCTTTATACAACCGCTTTCGCAACCGCTTCGCGAACGCGGATCCGCTTCCAGTGTGAATGGGGGGTTACTGGGATCTGTCTCTCGATCGCCATGACTTACTATCCGCGTGCTTCACCTGAAAGTGGAGACGCGTGCGTTCTTCATAAACAGTGCATCTCTTACATGAGTAAAGCAAGTAAAGCCGGTGCTTATAGTGCTACCTCTTAGAGACTTACAATGGCTTAATTGTAAAGAAAGCTTGTAAAAACAGAAAACGCTACGAATAGATAAAACGACCAAAAGTAAAAGTAGATTAAATGCACCTTTCCGTTTAAATATTTGGTCGAAAGGCCTGGACTTAGGCAATGCATGTCCATAGCAATCTAATATATATATATATATATATATATATATATATATATATATATATATATATATATATTTAATATGCGCGCATTTTTGTCAGATAACCGTACGAGGCTCCAAAGCTCATCTCTGCGTCGCTGAGCTCTGATTGGAGGAATAGTAGGTAGGCGCAAAGGATAGCTGCATTTGTCTCTACAGACTGTTCGGACGCACCTTGAACGCCGGTGGCTGGCGTTCGAACGCGAGACACTGTGCGAGGACCGGACGATGTTCATGTTCACTGTGATTGGAGGGAGACAGCGAGCAGAGACAAGGACAGCTACACTTTCTGTCCACCCACTACACCCTCAGAAAAAAAGGGGTGTATTCTTACTCCCCTTGTCCCATTTACGACACCCCAAAACTTCAGGTCGACGTACAGCGCGCTGACATCGAATCGCCGTTCCGAACTTTCACAGGCGGCTTGATAGCCGAGTGGTACAACTTGTTGAAATAGCTAACGTACGTGTTACTGACATAAAAAAGAGTAATTGTTTTTTTTTATTACTGCAAAACTTCAGTGTTTCTTTTCTGTAATCTTTGATACGCACTTTAGCTGTTTAATGAGGTGTATCTCACCGTTCTCAAGCATCTCGTAAAAGTTTGAGGCCGTCTGTTCGACGTCAGCACGCAGTACGTCGAAACGAAGTTTTAGGGTGTTGTATGTGGTACAAGTGGTGTAAGAATATACCATTTTTTTCTGAGAGCGTACTCATTCCAGTCAGAGCTCAGCCGTCTGACGCTCCCGCGCGCTTTAATCTCCTCCTTTCCCTCATTTTTATTTTTATATAAACACGAAACTGTTTATGCACCAAGAGACTGATCTCCTACAAGCAGAAATCTAAGTGTATTTCCCTTAGGAAGCAGAGAAGTATTTTGTGGCATTTAATCCTTTGTGTGGTTCGTCCCAGGAATCAAGCATTTTTGTCATAGAGAAAGGTCGGTTACATCCGTATGCCAGTGTGTGTTTTCGACTTTTTTCTGTATTGTAGATAACACGCATAGTCTTACGAGATGTACAAAAAAATAGAGTTACAATTGTGTCATTCTGGCGTTGTGGCCTGTCCAATTCGGACAAATAATTCCTGGGGCTAGACTAAGCTTTAAATGTCCGTCTATGTTGGAATGTTTCTGTTCCCCTTCGCATGTCACGTGGAGCGTGAAAACAAAGATGTGTGTCTAATGCATAGAGAGGTGTGCACAAATATAAAGCAGTATTCCAAGCTCTTCTTGTTTTACTGAGGACATGGTGGTTGATGAGAGAACATATGTAGTTTCGACAATACGGCACTCTTATCCTTGCAGTCAAATAACGAATTTATTTCGCACCAGCATAAACCGCTTTTCTTACATGTATATACGAGAGTGATTCACTGTCCATTAAAAGGAGATAGGGTGTCCTCCGTCTTAAAATTTTTTTTATTTGAATTTAAAAATCGAGAACGATTCGTTCCTTTCAACTATGTCGTAAGCATATAAAGTATATTACTTGGAACGATGTTCAATCTGAAGACAATAACATTGTTTGCATACATTCCCAAAGGCGCATAATGTCGCGCATTCTACGTTCTCAAAGTGCAGTCTTGATGCTCGCTTAAAATAGAAAGACAAGCGCCGGTAAGTGCCCCCGCTGACAATAAAGCTGCAACACACGAAGTGGCGTTTTTTTGTGCTCCTAAGGTGTCCGCAATCTCCCGAGTTTCTGAATTTCTTAAAGGGTTCAAATAACAAAACCTGAACTTCGCGTTCCATTCTTAGTCACATACCAAAGCTACTTCGAACATTGGTAGGTACGCAAAAAAGCATAAAGAGCTCTTGTACGCCATACTCTCCGCGATAGTATACGTTCAGGGCCGCTGGATTACAGCGCTAACCCAGCATGAGCGCAGCTATCCAGCGGCCGTGTCACAGTGCACCCAGACACCGCGGAGTGCTCGTTTCGAAACAGCATCATCAACCTCGGCGGTCAAACGGTAGAGTGAATCGATTGTCGCAACCACGGCTTCCGAGAAGGGCCCTAACTCCTCCCCGAGTGAAAACCCATGGTCGGAAAATTGGGATGGCTAACGATCAAAACGGGGACGTGTGAAGGGTAATAGGGAACCCCACGAGGGGGCGTGGACGCAAGGGGGTCCCCCAATTCATTGCTTCTCGCTTCATCTATTACGAGAGTGACGTGGCAGAAACGGACAGGGAATAAAGTATGCAGGCAAAACAAATCCGGCCGTCACGCCTGACCGCAGGTATCCTTCTCTCTCCCTCTGCTCCTCTTCCCCTCGACAACAAACGCAGCGTTATCCAAGTTCATTGAACCTTTTGCCAGCTGCTGGCTACATGGGGGATTCGACACTTCTCTTATGGTTCAAAAAATTGTTGAAAACTCTTTCATAAAAAAAAAAGCTGTGAAACAGCTGTTAGTCGACATAAATTAAAACTATTTTAACATTATTCCTGAGTTATATGAGATCACACTTAAAAGAGATAGACGCCTATAGGCTCAAACGTTTTGTGGTGGGAATGGTTATTCCTTTGGTTGCTGTAACGGTTTGCTGCTCTTAAATATGTCGGAAGTTTTTGCACTAGAAGAAGGCGCGAAGGGAATGTGGTCGTTTGAGGTGGCGTCGAACCGCTGTTTCTCGCGGTGGTGTCGCTGTTTGTTCACACAGCCTAGAAAGTCTAGATTTTACGAGGGGGCAACTCAGCCCATGCACAGCAGTTAAAATGTAATGGCTGACACCTCCTGTGCGAATCGGTTACTCGTGCGCTGGTGCGCGTTGCCATGTGGCGAGAAGGATAGCAAGCAAAAACGCTGATTTAAGCTTGGAGACTCTTGCAGGCGATTGACACTTGATACTCCTTCTCTCACCTCAAAGCGACTCATATAAACCACTAGCATACGCCCGATCGAGCAGTTGTAGGCACTCTCACATCTAGGCACTAACATGGTCTTTGACGGGGACGCCGGCACCTTTAGCGTCTACCTATTCGCCTTCATCTACCCTTTCGAGAGAATATAAAGTTGAGCCATTCATTGGAATGGTCTGCACAAAAATAAGGGAATTTGATCGGCTGAATGCCTCGCGGGCAGAACTATTAACAAATGTGTCGGTCATTCCTCAAGATATCAATCTGGCTGAAAGCCCTACATAGACGACTGTTGCTGACTGAAAAGCCCTGCAAGGACAAATGTCACCTCACCGCTAACTTATACTTAGTTCGGATTGTAATCGCCCGGGAATTGTGTGGCACTGGAGGCTGTTTTGTTGCTTTGGTCACGTTCTTATAATATTAATATTTTTTTTTTATTATTTACAGACACTGCGGACCAATATTTTGGCCCAAGCAGGATGGGATGTTAAGTTTGTGCAGTACAAAATACCAAAATACCTCCTTTTGACCAAGCTCTATCACTATATATACGACTGTGACGTGTATACGACTGTGTATACGACCGTGACACTATCAATTAAACTCATCACGTTTAGTAAAAGGTTGCGCCCTGTGCGGATCAAGTGTCCACGAATTATTCTGTTAGAATGACAAAGCTTTTCAGTGTGGTAATACGCGGAAAACCTCCAGTCAGACACTTTTTTTTTTTTTTTTAAATAATATCGCGCGAGTGCCAACCTACCACAAGATCACCACTTTATTGTGGCGTGAAGAGGTGAAATCAACGAGAATGAGCGCGTGCAATGAAGGCAGGCGCCAATGCGAGTGTCGCCTGCGTCATGCTTCCTAAGTGCTTGAGGAAACAGCCTACTAGCGGCGAGATGTTTTGGTGGCGCCCTCCTGTGGTTCCCTCTCGTTACGTCACAACGTTGAAAACAACTACTTCGATAGTGTTTGTAATGAGCATGGTGGAAGCCCGAGATCATTGCTCTGAAACCAACACTGCCAACACCGTCAAAATTGTAGTTCTTACATTACTCTTATTTCTGACGATAAGAAATCCTTTGCTGTCGTCATAGTCAGCGTTCGGCCAATCGTGGCAGGCCGACCACTAAGACTTTTTTGATCGCGCACGTCGCCGTTCGCATTAGCGCGTGCCTTCTCCGCACGTGCTTGTTCTTTTTGATTTCGCCTTTTCACGACGCTTACAGGGAAGCTGCGGAGGTGAATCTGATTATAACGTCCATTTTCCCCTAAGGTGAAACTAAATGCGAGAAAACACGAAAACCCTTCGACCTCTTTACGTCATAAAAGGATTTTCCGACCGCCAAGCGAGTGTCGCTCGTGTGGGCAGCGTGAAAACAGCAAGAGTGCGTGTGCATAGCTTTGATGGGTGCTGAAGATGCGCGAGAGCGGATTATGAAAAATCTGGATTTGACGTAACACGCCGGGAAGGAGGGGCATTAGAGGTACTTTGAAAATACTTTTATGGCAGCTTACGTGCACCAAAATAAAAAATAATCTCAATATTCGTGATCCTGGAGGCCAAATGAAGACGATTTAAGTGTTTTTCTCAAATACAAGACAGCTAGTTTCACTTTAAGGCGGAGATCTAGAGACCATTTGGCACTCGCGCGCTGGTATTAAAAAGTCACGAAGCTCTACTACGAATATATTAACGTAAATTGAGGTGTCTAAGAGACATGAATAGGTAAATATGAAATACTTTAATATTGAATGATGACAGTAATTACGCAAAATTTCAAAACAACAGATCACGATAGCCTGCAAAAGTCCGATATTTCCCAATATTTACACCCCGGACATGTTTCTTAAAACTTGGATAAAACCCGATTTTTCCCAGAACTCGAAAATTGAATTTTAGTAACTTCAAAATCACTTCGTTTCGAAAATATTTTCTAAGTAAAAACGATCGTTGGTAGGGGACACATGCGCTGGCTCCAGACGTCGGAAACAATCCTAGATTCTTTTGGATTCAGTGATTTGCGGTCACATAAATTGAGCCCTCAAATGTGTCTTTTATGTCTATTTTAAACTTTCTTTCGCGATTTTTTTTTACCAGCGAAAATAAAAAAGAAAAAAGAAGAGTGAGAAATTACTTATTTCAAATGTACGTAAGCTGTAATGGTGAGAGAACGTTCTCTCAAAAACCGGACAGGTCCAGGATAGAGACAGAGCTGCGGCGCATGCACAATATTATGTAGACAACAAGGATTTATGAAACATTTAAAAGCTCATGTCAGCTCTTTTCATGTTTCAATGCTATCTTATTAATTGCTATCGCTATTAAAAATAATATATGTAGAATTTAAACCAATTCAATGTCAATTATACTTGTAAATTTCTAAATATAGCCTGATTTGAAACCCGTTTTCTCCCCGATTTCTATTTTGGATCCAAGCGCCCAATTTTTGACTCCTATATTAAAAAAAAAAATTAAACTAGTAAACGAAGGATCATATAAGTGGTGTGAGAGTTCATGTAATAACATTTTTTGGGGGGCTTTTCTTTTGTTCTTGATTAGAATACCTGGTCCTCAATTACTAAAGCTTTAAAGATTTGAGACTAACGTTGTCTTAATGAGTGTTTCCGTGACGAACACAATTGATGTTCATCTTCTCAAAATTTGAGATGTTGATGAGTCAGGTGCAAATACTGGTAAATTATATTAGACGTAGACGTTGAGTGTGAGATTTACGTACCGTTTGATGATGGTCTGCCACGTGGTCTTCTGCTGCCAAAAATAGTGAAATCTGAATGAAAACAAGTTTCTTGACTGATCAGTCATGCAACACCATGGTGTCGTACCTCATCTTCACCGGAACCGTCTAGTACCACGTCGTCGCCGATGACGTTCAATGCAACGATCCCTACCTGAAACGTGAAACAGAAAGCTTTGGTTCAGCACGAAAATTTTCGTTGAAAATCGGTACCCGTTGCTATTTATTACGATTGCATTTTATTTTATTAAATTGTATTAATGTTTTTTACGATTATTACGATTAACTGGCGTCAGTTTGAACGTTTTCAACTAAACATAATTTCTGAAAGAATGCTATGAACTGAGCCTAGAGTCGTAAGTAAAGTTTCCCATAACTTCTAAAATAATTTTCGATAATATAGATAGAGTAAAACCGAAACCGAACCTAACCTGCAACTCATTGACCCGCGACCTTGTGACGTTAGATTTTGTTTAAACATCGGCACATTGAGAGCTTGACCCTGTTTCGCCCAGCGTCAGTAGCAGTCAAAAAGCCGTCGTGATCGTCCGTGGGAAATAATGGCCTACGATTCACCAATATTTTCCGAGTCAAGCAGTGGCCAGCAATGGTATAGGACAGAGGTCTCAAACACGCGGCCCTCAAGCCGCATGTGGTCCGCGATTCTCTGGGACGTGACCAGCCCGGACCCTGGGATCCAGCAAGACTTGGTGACAAGGGCCCGGATAGCCAGCTGTAGCCAGGGTATCCCGGACTAAGGATGCCCTCCACCGGGCGGGTGCCCTAACATCTGCACCTGATGCTCGATAAATAAAGGTTTATTCATCATCATCATCTGGGACGTGGCCCGCAAGCATCCAGCGGCTGCGAGCTTCCATCCTTACGCCTTGAGCTCTACATGCGCCGTAAATTGTTAACATATTTTGCACTATTATATTTTATTTTGGGCAGAGTAGTTCTTCGTCTAAATATTTTTTCTCTCGACTCTTTCTTGTGTAAATTACTTGTACGACAATACCACTAATCTACTGGGCTACAAGGGCGAGCTAATTTCTCAATGACACACCTCAGCTGAATGAGCTCTCGCTCAGCAGGAGAAACTACCAAAAATAAAACTATGAGCTCGGGCTTCCAGCCGTTAAAAAGAATGTTTAAATATAAACTTTTTTTCATGCAGCTCTCAAAATCCCCGGAAAAGCAAAAACTGTCGTATAAAGGTTTTTTTTGTTAGTCCCAGAAGCATATCAAAGCAATATATACCACTGGCAACACGACGAATTCACAAAAAAACTTAGAGCACGAGGTCCCCTTTTTAGAAAGACCCCAGGGTGTCACTGAGAGTGTCGCCTGTCTTGAAACGTAAAACGTCACTGCATTTTTTTCTTTTATGCCCACAATATCAAAATATACTTACCCCCTCCCCCCCCCCCCCCCCCCCCCGCCCCCTCACCCTACGTTGACCAGAGAACTTTCGGGGGTAGGATATTTTAACTCCCACACTCGAACCAGCATAAGACGCCTATTATAGGATTTTTAGCGTGAGATTTCGGACGATTCACCGTTCGCGTTTGATCCGCTGGCATCGCCTCCGAGGGGACCACCCGTAGCGGCTGCATTCGCGATCCGCCAACATATATACCAACTTATGTTTACAAACAAACTGGAGCGCCCCTAGCGGACGCCACCGACACCGCGCATGCGTGATGGGGGTGTGGGCAAGAAGCTCGCCGTCGCCCATAAACAAACGATTGGAATGGGATATTGTCGGCGTCGGTGTGAGCCCCCACGCTCTTTTTTTGCGTTTGAATTGTTGCTTCTACGTCTTCCTGGCAACCTCTGACTAGTTGAGCGGCCGCAGCGAAATTAACGAGGCTCGTTACACCGCAAAACTCGGCGTGAATAATGTAACATGCGGCGGTTCATTCCGCGTGGACGGCGCAGAATGGACGCTAAAGCATGATTCACATGATGAGATTCTGCTTGCTAGTTTCAGTCATGACGTCGTTCGGGCTGCAGAAGCCTGAACCGTGACTGAGATGTCAACGTCGATGCTGAAAATCACAAGCAGAATCGGACCGAGTGAATCGGGCATAACAAGTCGGTGATGGCCACTGGTAACAATTATCAACATCTCCTTATATCTACTGTTTACACCGAGCCTACCGAAGCAACCTTCAAACTTAAACGTCTTTTGAGGTCTGCACTTCTTATCGCAATTACCGGGTCAACGTTTGGTCTACGGGCCGCAGTCGTTTGAACGAGCAGACGACAAGCACGAACGTTTGAGAGAGCAGACGACAGCTCGAACGATGAGGCGGCCGTTTGAACGTGATGACGCACTGAACGTAGTCCGCAGGTGGTCCGTGCAACTTGACGGTTTTCCCGCGTTCATGTTGGAACAAAACAAATAAATCTGGCGACCGCAAGTATCCGTGAATTCAATTCAAAGTGCTTTCCGCCCAAGCAATCGTGGTCCAACGGCGTCCGTTTTTCTTTTTTCACGGCCCCTGTTCACGTTCTCGGACGAACCGAGCAAGCAGAAAACGCATGAAAACTGACCTTCAAAACTGACCTCTTTTGGTAAAGCCCCAGTCGTGGTGTTTTGACGAGAAGGCAGGTTTTTGCCCGGTTTTCTTCAAAAGTAACACAGGAATGCACGTGCCCCATGGCGGCTTCCGCCCACAGCCCCAGACCGGAAGTGCGCACGACGCGCCACCACCGCGCCGTGACATAACAGAGATGAGTTCGTGTTTAAACCCAGGTGTTGCTTCAGAAGCATAATGGCATGAAAGGTTTTGTTTGCTAGCACGGTGCGAACTCTTTTTTAACATGACGCAAGGTGGACAGGTTGGAATTTTTATAAAAATCAGTGTCTGGTTATGTAAATTTAAATATAATTGCATACCTCATGCCACTCGGAGCCACGCGATACCCATCCAGGCAGCGATAACGCGAGGCATTTTCTGATTGTTGTTGTACAATCGATGGTTTCAAGTACTCTTATTTCCAAAAACGATCCGCGGACGGAATACACTTCCAGAAAAAATATTTTTTCTAGCAGTTTAAAAGATTTTGTTAGTGGTTTAAGCAACCACCTGTATAATGGTTGATAACTTTGTGCTTAGCGCTCTGTAATTAACATTTTATGTTTGGCGTGTTCAGTTGTAGTTTGCACCTTGTCATCTTAATATAGATTGGTGTGATTTCTTGCTATATGTATTCGAATATCTTTTTTTCTGTTGTCTAGGCTTTGTCGACCGTTGGACAACTGTGTTTCCCTCCACTCCTACCTAGTCTTTTTATTGGAGAACGTAGTATGTATAAATAAATGAATAAATATATAAAATAATACGATGCGAACGATAAATGCAAGCATTTTCGTCGTAATGCTCGGACCCACTCCCGTCTCAGAGATTTCTCGGCCGCAAACCGATGAGATGCCACTCTTCTACAATTCTTCGTGGTATTAGTGCACCCACAGCACATCAGATATATTCCCCACCCTCCACTTCATGCCGCACACAGCCTAAACCAGAAAAAGAAATCCACAAAACTAAAGATATTCACTATCACTACAATGCACAGCGCCGTGGAGGAGGGAGCGTTGTCTGCTCTCGGAGACAACATTTGACGTCACGAACGCCCCTGCTCGTTGTTGCCAGTAGAGCGGGAGTCAACGATTTGGAGGTGCGTGCGTAAACTTCAAAATTCATTTTATCCAAAGTCAACGATTACTTTTATGACATATTTTGTAGACATGCTCAGAGGTGAATATTTAGTGCGTGGTGAAAATTTGACAAGATTTGATGACCATCAATGTTTCGTCGGAGCTACTACTCTTTAAGTAAGTTACTTCTTGGAACAAGATCTCTAATGCAGCAATTGCTTCCTGTCTTATGGGTTTAGCGTGTAGGTCAACCAGGCAGTACGCTAGAGAAACGACAACCTTGGCCCCAGTTTGGTAATCTGAGGGGCCTAACTTGAGCAAAATACGACTTCGGTCCAAGGTGGTAGCCAGTGATACTCTTTTTTTTATTATTATTATTATAGCGGAGCTGTTAAGGGCTAGTTTGCCCAGGATCGTGTCCCCCGCAAAAAATGTCGACTCAAAACTTTGATTGCCGCCGTCGCTCATAGATGGCGGTAGCTGTCCAGAGTGTTGCGTTTGCCGGTTGTCCGCTTGCCGCCGTCGCTCATAGATGGCGCAACCTTTCGAGCCTTTCCACTCTGGCTTGCCGACTTGCGGCCGGCCATTACCTCATTCCCACCATAGTACAGCTTCGCTGGTCTTCCTTCTTCACCAAAGTGGAAAGGCTAAAAGTTTTTTTTTTCTTATAAAGTAATTTTGTTGTTCGTCACATGATTGCCGAAGTGCCAGACGTCATGAGCCAAAGATGCCACGTATCACATGAACAGCCAGAAGTGAAGTCTATAATTCCGGTACTTCCTAGGGGATTTACGCCCAAAGTTACCAGGTTAAAACCGAACAACCAGTGAAGCATAATTCTGTCATTTTCTGTGGTACTGGGGCCCGAAAAGCCAGGTGACAATCAAATTGCCACACCTCTATTTGTTCCTATACAGCGAAACGTATGATCAAATAAAGTTATATACCTTTTTTCTCCAAGGTAATTTGATTGAATAATATTACTGCATGCTTTAAAGCAAAAGCCGGATCGCAGCCCGCGGTAATAAATTACACAGCCTACAAAACGTAAAAACATGTTTGAGTGGCGTTCATTGTTGACGCAAGACTGGTTTCACTGAATATTAATATTCACCCGAGATGTCTAGTCCATATGTGTCCACGTACCGCTTCAAACTTTTTTTTTCTTCCAGACGAGAGCTGGATTTACCATATAAACCTATTTTCACATAATGTCAGATTAACATCTTCCACTAGTACCTCGTTTGCGACGTTTTTTTCTCCTCTCCGCTAACTATCACTAATGTACCGGGTTTTTCTTTTGTTTTAGGTATCTTTTCTTGGGTTTAAAAGGACTGACGAATATATATCACTAGTGTTATGTGAGTAGTTTTGATTTATTCCGATAATCACGGCACTGTGAAATACTCTTCAGACTAGCCTTTATATCACCTTCCAGGAGCAGCTCATCTTGAGCAGAATCTTCCGCAGAAAAGGGGGCAATTTATTTCGGCGCTCATTTTGCGTGATTTCAGACAAATTTGACAAAAATGACTGGTCACCATTTTTAGTTATATATATATATATATATATATATATATATATATATATATATATATATATATATATATATATATATATATATATATATATATATATTATGTTACTGCCTCGAAAGTACTATAAACGAATTCATAAATATTTTCGCCGAGGACACAAGCCTCGAGACACAAATTGTAGACCCTGAAGCGGATGAACACTTGCATTTACGTGCAATATAAAATTGTTTCACTCGTGAAAAAAAAAATCGTTTAGCATAGTGTTTAAAAAATAGATTCAGGTTTGAAAACTACGGGGTCCACGCCAACACCCATTACTTGATTCTATAGTTGAACTCAACATTGGGCAGCTTTATTTGCCAAACAGAAAACTGACCACACAGTGACGTAAGTTCACAGGCTAAATACTGCATTAACGTCGAACGAACTCACGCACCTATCCGTCGCTTCAGTAAATATATTGTTTGTGTGGTTTCCGGACGCAGAAATGCGTCTCAAAACATGTTCGCTTTATAGGCACCTTATTGTGTTGCGCAATATACTGGTGAGGAACTACACATCGGCACACTATAGCCTTTCAGCCGATTACCCTTCAGCTTCCCAGACACACATTAAATATTCTTACGTATAGTTTCTTAGCTAATAAATAATCGCGTATAATGAGCGAAGGCTTAAAGAGGCACTGACGCGTCAAAATTATTTTTTTATTATTCAAAAAGATTGAAAACGATGCCCGGACATTTCCCTCAAAATTCGCAACTTGAGAATTCAGTATTTGTGAAGTAAAAAAAAAAAAAAAAAAATCCAAATGCCGAACCTGAAGTTTTTGCGCAATTCGCGCCAGTGCAGCGACGTCAAATATTGATATAAGAACTAAATATCGCAAAGGGTAGAAAAAGGACAAGGGACAGAACATGTAGACAGGACAAGCGCCGTCTGTTCCTTGTCCTTCGTCTAACCTTTGCGCTATTTAATTTTTATATCAGGCATATCCAACTAGCCCACCTCAATATCTTAGTCAAATATTGAGCCGCACTGCGAGCCTCCGAACCGTCGCCACCCAAAATGTCCTGTTGGCTGGCGTCCCGCGAACAATCGGTTTTCTCCGTGCGTGCCGTCTCTCGCTGCGAGCAGACGACGCTCGAGTTTCGAGTTTGAAGATCTTTTAGAGCCCTTTCAGTGGACTTTTGTGAGCGACGTGAGAGGCCACGTCGCACCGGTTCTGTGTGAAAGGTTGCCCCGGCGGAGTCAACTGAAACTACGATACAGACACCAAACCCGGTTGTTTTGACCGTTTCACGATTTTCTTTTCGAAGTCTGGGAGGTCGTCGGGCACCTAAAAAAGACCACCATCGTCCGATTCACTGACTCACCGATCGTCCTCTGCTACATGCATCGAGTGCCGCCATGTTTTCCGAGGGAGGGTAGAAACTTAAAGCCAGGAGGCGACATCACACGGGACTCCGATTTTCAGTATTTCAAAAAGAAGGGCCGTAGTGCGTTCGCCATTGCGTTAAAAAACAGGCTTTACGAATGTAGTTATTAAATGTAACAGATATGTCGCTTACAAAGCTTCTAAATTTCCTGATATTTGACGTCACAAATCAAAAGAAGCGAGAAGGTGAAAAGCGGAATAGAAGGGCGCCAAAAATTAAAAAAAAACCGCGCGCGTAAGGGATTTTTTTTTGCGTTCTGGTATTTTTTTGCGTGTCTATGACTACAACTCGCATTGTTTTAGACAACGAAAACAACAACAACAAAAAAAACTTTTGGTGTGTCAGTGCTTTTCTAAGAAACGCAGGACGTGGCGAGTCCTGGGCATTTGATTATCGCTCTCCAGGTAATAAGATTGTTGCATTTGACGATAGGACCACCAAAGGGTGAATCCTACAGCAATGGGCGTAAAGATAATTAGCCACTGCCTGCGTTTTTTAAGCTTCCAGTGAATATAAATTTAAAAAAAAAAAGAAAGAGGGAGTTTTAAGACTAAAGAGCTTGGTGTCGTCTTGTTCTCTGTCCCTGTCTTTGAGGCGCTTACTCTTGCGATGCACCCTAAGGATACCCAACTGCACTCTAAATAAAAACTCTGGTCGTAAAATAACTCTCAGGGGTTCTTTGACTTGTCCATATTTCGCAACACAAAAACATTATTTTAATCACCCCCTAGAACGGTTCTTCGTGAAAAACCTCGGAGGGGTGCTTTAAAGCTCTCCTTTTTTATGCGAGAGTTCTTCGTCGCCCCGCTGCCTTTCTAGAGCGCCAGAGGGCGATAGTGCTTGAGGAGAAACCGTTCTTCAGGAGCTGAAAGAGTTCTTAGGGCGTCCACGAACCCTTCATTCAATAGCTGATTCTTTTTTTTTTTTTTTGAGTGTACGTATGCCGGGAATTCGTCTTCGATTGGTGTCGTTAGCGTCCTATTGCGCCCCCGCGTCGAAAGTGATTCCAAAATGTCAACAAACGACGTCGCAAAAGCCGGGCCGTGTTACGCTGTCAGATGCCGTGATCCTGGTGGTTTGTCATAAAAATCCCGGCACAAAAAGCACGAGCAAACGCGAGTGTCGCTGTCGTCATGGCGTCCCTACCCCTGGCTGCCGAAACTTTCGTGGACTGTCAAGATGAAGAGTGACGTGCAGGGGAACAGGCGTCTGCCAAACCAACCACCTGTGACACCGCCAGGATTGCGGCCGGCGAAAGTGTGACACTTCTGAGACGTCATCAGGCGGTAATCTGGGGACCACTTGCTTGGACGCCGTGAACACATCAGTCAGAGACGTATGAACCTCAATAATCGTGCCGCAGCCAATGAGATTGCGGCGTTAGCCAATAAGAACGCCTAGGAAGGAATGACAAAGCGAGAAGCGTGAACCTAATGAGTGGAGGCCTTGCGCTTCTTGAGTTGACAGCGACTACAGACGTGTTTGCCTTGTCTTTCATTATCGCGTATCTTTTGGTGGTAATATTATTAAAAAAAAACAAAACAACCTTACCTGGTTGTATACGTTGTACTTGTTGACGTGATTTGCGTGAATGCGAAATCTGACGAGGTCCCCAATGGCGTCCACGAGAACGGACTTGAGTTCCCGGGACTTGTACTCGGAGTGCACGTTGTCCGCCAAGGAGACTTCCCTGCACACCGATGAGAGACCAGGCTTTAATCACCCTGTTCAACTGGTGGCCCGAGTTTTCGCATCGTCAGCGGCACTATCACCACACCCAGCGCTACTTCATCTGTCAATTACTATAGGTATATATATATATAGGGTTTACAAGCGGACCTGCGGCTGTAACACGAGCAGAAACAATCTGCACATACATGCAGAAAACTCAATTTTTCAACGATTGTGCACTCAGCAGGTCAGTTTTACCGTTTGCAAATTCAAGGCACAGTGTTCTTCCTGTAAACAAAAAATTAGAGCAAAAAATTGGCCAAATTTAAGTTTGGGTGCGGTCGCAGACGACGGAGTTAGCGACGTCGTTTACTTCTGGCGCCACCTACTTATGGTGAAAACGGAAAATTTGTTTATTTGCGTGAAAAAATTTACCCACTACGGTTCTCTTGCCTGAAGTCATCCCAGCCTGAGGGGGAGGGAGGCAAGGGGGGGGGGGGGGGGAGGGGGAGAGGAGGAAGGGGAGGAAGGGGAGGGGGAGTGAAATGGAATGGTTGAAATGATGGGTGACTAACTGAATTAGATTGGCCTGTCGCACGTAAGAAAGCAGAAAGTCCAGGATCTGTTTGCAGTCGTCGGGGTTTGTACGCTCAGTGTAACTTCGAGGGAATTACTCCGGTGCAGCGAACTTTGTTGTTTCCACGCTGCACCTTTCAAGAGAGGGCCTCACAAGTAATTAGCGTCGTTTATGCGGTATTCACACAAGTGAAAAATCCGACACTCTGCCTCGCGGAGTCCGCATCCCGTGTTGCCAGACTTGTGCCTATCTCAAATACTCTACTCAAGACACTGTGTTTCAAACACTTTTTGAAGTATCTTGGTACCTTGCAAATACTTTTGATCGAGGATATTTCATTTGTGTATTTCGATTACATTTTTGAGTATCTTATACTCATTATCTCAAATACATTTTCGGCACTCCGCCATTTTCTGAGTTTTTCGGTATGAAGTGGCGTGGGCGTGGCACAAGCCAACGTGAACATTGTTTCGAGCAACCTAATCCTGTTGCTAGTTCCAATAAGCTACGGTGAGTTAGACTGAGCTCGCGAAAACATCGCTTTTGTGCCGATTGTGACTCATATTTCACCCCGAGGTTAGTACAATGAAGATTTTCCCATCTCCTTTCCAAAGGCGCCTTTTGTTTCCCAGAGTTTCTCCGAAAAAAATCATCAAGCAAAATGGGTTGTTTTACGGAAGTAAATATTGCCACACTCAGGCGCAACGCAGAACGGGAAACCACCCACAACTGCAATGCAAACTATTCAGTGTCAAATAAATAACAAACGGAAGAAAATGAGAAATTGACAGAAAAATAAGACAATTTTCTATTTTGCTTGTATATTTGACCCCGCTACGACAAACCGTTGATTCTCTTTTTGTCGTCAGTTCGGCATTTATTGCTGTGGCGAACACCGTCTGTAAGGGAACATTGATAAGCAGAGAACAGGACAGGAAACGAACTGCGAGCAGGATTATCAAAATGCCAACAAAGCGTCCCCCAACGTTCAGTACCTTTGTGAACAACACCTCCTTGAAGAAGATGCGGCCAGCGCTGGTGGCTATTATGTGGGCTCTCTTTGTTATCCATTCACTCATTTCCATATCCTAGGTTCGTTTATAGTCAACAGGGAATATGGACTGTAGTTGAAGGATGCGTCTAAGGTGCGCCGCAGGGCACGATATTCGACGATGTCATTACAAGTGAAATGCATTTTTCTTTTTAGAGCGCAGCTCTTAGGAGCCCGTTTCCAGCCTGAGCGGCGTCGGCGTCAAGTAAAGTACTAAATACACCTGGTGCAGTGTACTTGACATAAAGTTCTATATACAAAATGCTCTTTCAATGTGAAGTACAAGTACATTTTAACACAATCTTTCAAGATGCCCTTTCATCCCCTATACAGTTTTTCTTTTTTTTAATCGGTATGCATTGCTTTAGAGGTAATCGGAGGTGTGTCAGCTTTTTTTTTGGAAATGACGGCAAATATTTGATGAAGTGAAGTCGCCACAGAGTAGCTGTTTTACTCTCGCTGACGAGCTATTTAACACAATCAACATATAAGGCACTTATTTATATCGGTCTTACAGCCGCCCTTACTTCACTCAGCGAGATGGCCAGATGACGTCTCGAAAGACGATAGCGTGTTTTCACATGATAATACGCCCTTTTTTATTTTCAAATTTGGGGAATGTATTCTTAAGTCGGCATTCGAACTGTCCTTGGAAAGTACCAGAAAAAATACTTTAGTAAAGTATAAGTAGATGCTTAGAGAATGTACTTCAAGTAAAGTACAAGTTTCCCAAACTTACTTGAAGTAGTAATTTACACTATAAGAAATGCGCTTGCATTGCGTAATGCCACAGCGCTAGCTTCATTTTCAGCTCTAAACGGATGTTCCGCCTCATCATTCGCCTGAGCTGATTTCGTAGATCGCAGAGAATGGATCTTCGAGTGTATTGCGGTAAGTAGACGCGCAGGCATCACTTAGAGTTTGTACAATGTACTTAGAGTACTTTCCAACACAACTTAATTTTTTTTTTTTTACAAACAGGGGAGGAATTACTAAGATTTTTGAAAGATCTTCGAATTTTGAAAGACCTGCATATTCTGAGTTTCGGGAGGAAATGCGACGGAAAAAGGTTACATTGACGTTGCCCTTTAACGCGTAATTCTTTATGTACAGCACAAACTACGGGAGCAGCAGGTGAGCTTTAGGGCGGGTGCTGAATTTTCTTGCCTCCTCTGAGTGAGGATGCATGTGTACACTTCCTGTAGTAGGCGAGAGTTCATACGTTGGGGAGAAGCGGGGACAAGCCCTTTCTTCAAATGCGTCGTCTCCTTCAGCTTCGGGACACGAAGAAACGCCAGCCTTCGGCGTTATTCCTGCAGTTACTCGGCCTCACTTGCGACATGTCTCTCCGCTTCCCGCGCATCGCAGCAGGGTTGTTGCAGTGGGGGGCCTCGTGAAAATTTTAGGGGGTTTCGGACCCTCCAAACCATCCTAACCCCCTGCCTACGCCACATGCTTTCCCCTCTTTGCAAATATCAGCTGATCTTCCAGCATCTTATACCTCTTTGTACCGGGGCGGATCCAAGGGGTGGGGGGGGGGGGGGGGCGTCCCCCCCCCCCCCCTTAACAAAGTTGACCCCTCCCCGTCCCCCTTTCTCGGAGGGCAATTGGACATGGGTGGATGTCCGGTACACACGAAAGAATGGGAGAATAGAATCCTTACAAGTTTTTCGCCCCCCCCCCCAAATAAAAAGAAAACAAAAAAACGGAGCTCTGGATGTGCCCATGCTTTGTGCAGGAATGTATGTTGATAACCAACCCTGCTATTAAAATTGGAAAGTAATTTGTAATTTGAGTAGAAGTTACTCGGAAAAAGTAGTTATAGTAAACTACAGATTACCGAAATAAAAATGTAATTGAAAGTTCCTAAACTACTCAGAAAAGTAGTTAAACTACAGTAACTTGAGTAGAGTAGTTGAACTACGTACAAGTCTGCTTTTTTTCCTTTTTTTTTTAGGAAACAGAAATTATTATTGTTACTTCCTTTTTTGGCACATGAAGGTTTTTCCAAGTATTCGGGTCGCGCCCATGTCCTTCGAAGATTTGGGAATCCTATGGCAATGCCCTGCTTTTGCTGAGTCCGATAAACACCAATTTCTTGTCCGGCACCGAAAATTGACACCGAAAAAGACGGTGTCATCTCTGAAAAAATTATAAACCCCCGAAAAAGAAAAAAAAACCTCTAATTAAAAAAAAAAAAGCAGAGCATACAAACACGAACTTCTACCTATAAGCCTGATTATAGTCCGTTGAGACTCAAGAAGGTTGGGCGAGGGAAAGGAAGGCCGGGGAGGAGAAAGCAGACGGAACGCTGGAGAAGAGAGGGGGAATAAATCTCTGTAGCGTTCCACCTCCTTCCTCCTCCCCGGCCTTACTCTCCCTCGCCCTTCTTTCATTAATCTCAACAAACTATACACTCCGTGCTACGCGACTGGCGCGCTGCCGCGCGGCCGGTACCGAAGGTAGGCAGTGAGAACCCCAGAGAAAACGAAACCATAACCACGCCACGTACGTTGGTACGCATAGAAGTTGGAGCGGTGCGGTTGCGCTGGGTTCACAGCATGAAGTGCTGCCTGTGCTGCGTCATTAAGTGCTTCAATAGTTATGCGTCGTATCTCGTGGGGACAAAGTTTCGCAGTTCTTGCCCTCGCCGATGTTTTGTGGGACAGCGACAGCGATGGACCCGTGCCGTACGACGCGAGAAATTTGTTCTCCCGATCACGTATGCCACTGTGTCGGCACGGCTGACATATTCTACGCTGCCCCTTTGCGCTCTGCGTTTGTTTTCGTACCAGTGACGCCTACATGTGTTAGCGCCGATGGGACGAACTGAAATGCCACCCCACACTCGCGGGTGTGGAGTGCCAATTTCGTTGGAGGAATGCCCTCCAAAGAAGTTTCGTCCCCATGCATCGTACATGTCTATGATATTTCCGGACAAGTACGGCACGCAATCTGTACCTCATGAGGAAAGACTCAAACGGTAAAAAAAAAGTGACATATCTGAATTTAAGGAAAACTACAATGAAACTCGGAATCACTGGAGAGTCGACGTTTGAGTATGGAAGTTCATGTGGTGTGCTTTCTTTCTTGATCAGCCTACCTTTGGATGTAGAAACGCTGACACCCCGAGTTCTGTAGACAACAATTTTTTTTCTCGGCTTTCACCTATCGCAAAGTGGTTCGAACTGGAAGTACCGTCCACTGGTCCCTTCCTACCTGTAAAGTGTGCACCTCCCACGATGAATGGTATTATCTTGACAGCCTTTGACGGTCAAAACCAGTTCCCATTTAGTTACGCCGCCCAAACTAAATTTTCACCTGATTTCAGTATACCACCTCTTTTTGGTACAATAAGTGTTGTGTCAAGTTATAGTCATGTCAAAGTACC